CTTCTGTTAAACAGAACACAGTTCTCAACAGAGCTCACAGTAGAGCTCAGGTAGAGGTTATACAGATGTGGAAGAGATGGCCAAAACATGCTGAAAGAGCTGGGGCCATCAGCAGCTCAGCTGCCTTCTGACCATTCAGGAACCACCCTGGCACTAGTGCTGCTTTTGAGAAGGGTTAACAGTATGCTGATCCTTGACAGTGAGGCACGTACCTGTGCAGCTGCCTGGGTGCCCAGCTTGCTCCCAGTCCTCTGCAATTTAAAAAGGATGTTTTCTGCGATCTACTTCAACCTTTGCTTCACCTCCTTGTTTCACTTAGGTGCTGAAGTTTAGCATTGCAGCAGCTTGCATTCATAGCATAGGGATTTCCTTTTTGGTACATGCACTTTGAAACTGCAGGTGGCCAAATCCACTTCAGTTAGCAGAATGCAAGTGTTTAATTAGCTTTTAGCAATTGAAGCAATGGAATAGTGTCTGCTGATCAGACCAATCATGCTGTTTAACCAAAGGTGACCAATTGAACCTCCTTCTGCATTCCATCTCCCCATTTAGTTCAAGTATTTAATTTAGAAAGCTGCAATCAGCTTAACTATTTAAAATATTATTTTTATTGTATTGTTGATAAATCAGCACTATATAAAGCCTTAAGCAAATGTGAAATAAATTCATTTTTTCTTGCTTTGCCACTTCAGATTAAGTGTGACTATAGTCTGTTAGATTGTAGTCTTGGTCAGGATCACATAGGGGGGATAAAAGGAAAGGGACATTACAAACAGGCAGACAGACACATACAGCTATGGGGAAATTACAAAATTCTGAGTCCAGTTACAGTTTATTAAATATTTTTAAACTAGAAATATTTTAACCATTAGTAAGTACTCTAGTGGTTAATGCACACCAGCACTAGCTCACTGAGTACAACAGCACTTGCAAACAGCCACTGTTGGCCAAAATTTTTTAACAGCTGTTACAGGTTCTGTGAACTTAACTCTCCCTCTGCCCTAAGCTGATTGTATGCTTCTATTCCTTTACTCCTTTGGATGTTCGTCACCACATACACAAGCCTAGTTTTTAATATTCACATTCCTTAAACTATTCTGTCACTTGTGAAGATTTCCTTGGATATCTGGTTTTAGCAGGTTCTTGTTACTCTGGCTGGGATGACATCAAACATAGCATGCAAAGCAAAGTCTGCCCTGCTTAGCACTGAGAACAGCTGGTAAAATAGATGAAGAGGCTGAAGAAAATTTATTCCATCAGTCTGGAAGACTAGGAATTTTTGAAGAATGCATTCTACTACTGTCTTAACAATGGCAGCTTATACATCATGTTTATTATTTGTATTAATAGTGACCCAACTCTCAGTCATTTCAATACTCTCAGAACAACTGGTACACTTTTTACTAAGGGTAAACTTAAGAACAATCTTTCCACCTTACCCCTAAACTCCTGTTATACGCATTGTTTGGGAATGCCCAGACACTCACGGAAACTAATGCTTTAGAAATCACCAAGCAGATTTGTTGAAAAAGAAGACAGTTGTTCTTCACCCAGAACAGCTGCTATCAACAAAACAGCTACTAAAAATACACTCATTGTACAATCACAAACTGGCAACAAGCAAACATCACTGGCATTTGTGTATAATAACACTGCTATGTTACAGGCACAAGACTGTTCTCAAAGTTTGGGAAGTTCACAGAGGAATTAGCAACTTACATTCCAGTTAAACTTTTTGGTATTCTTTTTGGCACGAGAGTTCTATTTCAGATGGGAATGATACAGCCATTGTTATTTTTAGGTCCATACATGCACAATCACTCTGAAATAATACTAAGTTGAAATTTCCTTAAATTATTAGTGCCATTTTTGCATATATTTATTTTTCCTTTTCCCAATGTTAAGAGGTTTTCTTCCATCACCATATTGGCAAATGTGGAACATGCCAATCAAAAAAAGCAAAATTCCTTTTATCTCTACCCTTCTCCTTCCCCCTCCCATTATTTTTTTTTTTCCTCTTAACTGTCTTGAATAATTTAGGAATAATTTAGTCCATTAACAGTTTTGGTGGTCTTTTCAAGGTGATGGAGGAATGTGAGAAGTGTTTATCTACTCTTTCCCTTAAACTCTAGCTGTTGTATTGCTAGTGAATGTGAGGTTTAATACAGCTAAAAATGAGAAAACTGTACATCTCTTCCAAATATGCTCCTTGAAGACATAAACCCACCAAAATAGTAAATTGCTTGTGTTAATAAGTAGGAACAGATGTCAAAAAGTAATGCAACTTTATGTACAATATATTGCAATAGACTCCTGACAAAGAGTTTCTGTGTTAGTTCCCATACCACAGAGTTGTTTCAAGGAAGACAAAATGAAGTTAAGTATTTAAGTTTTTAGCAAGCATAGTTTCCCATACTTGCAAATTTCATGTCATTTAAACAAGGAGACCTTCCCTCTCACAAAGCTACCTAATCAGAAATTTTAAAGAAAAAAACATCCATCTTAGCTGTGATTTCCAACTGGGTTGTATAAAATAATCCCCCATAGAATGCCTGCTTTTAATTAGAAGCTGTGAAACATTTCCATTGATATTGCTACAGCTTTGCTTTATCACCAAAATAGACTTCATAAGCAATCTGTCTACAAGAAGTGATATTTCAGCTGCGCCATCAGCAGACAAGCACTAACAGAACACCACAGAGCTCCAGAACCTCAGACCATTCACAGCACCCAGAGTTTTGTGCCCGATTGTGGCAGCTCCAATCCAAACACACCATTTTGACTTCAGCCCCACAGTTACACAGACAAATTAAGGCATGTTCCCTTCTGCAAAGAGCTCAATTTGTTTGGCTACCAACCCACCTGCTTAGTCATTTACGCTTAGTCTTTTACCTTGCTGTAGTTGTCCAACACCTCCTAGGATGCAGTCTGGCCAAGCATTCAAGGATGTACATCCTACTGCTCAACAGCACTTTTTCCTTGTTTCTATTTAACAGAAGGATTGCAAACCTTTTGGAAACTTAAAATAGGAGTTTAAGCAGCTCCAACTGAAAAATGTTTGCTTTGGCTGGTAACAGCTACCTGTAATAAACAAAGTATTAGGTGCTGTTAAGTGTGATATCATGCTTCTTGGTCCATATTCACATAATTTTCATGTCTTCTGTGGAGATCCTGATGTTGTATGTTACAATTACAAGTAGCTGGAAAAACTAGGGCACTGATTACTGAATGTACATCCCAAAAATAGAGACACTGAGTGGTCAAACATCTTGCAGCTGCAAAGTATGATAGCTCTTACTTTGGCCTTACAATCTTTAGTCACGTATTTCCAAAAGTTATCTGGTGATGCTGTCCCAGCATCTCCATTTCTCCATTCTCCAGTTACATCTGTAGTCTTAATTTTATTCTTCTGTAGAATAAATTTAAAAATGTATCTTCTATAATTGCTAAGAATTTTTACTACCTCTCTTTGCTTTGCTAGCCCTCCTTAACTTGAAAGCCCTGGAGTCTGGGCTGTGCACTGTGCTATATGGATACCTTCTGCTTCTTCAAAGAACTGGTACCAGTAGGTCATAAGGCACCTTCACTGGGGCTTGCTGTTTTGTCTGGACAATTACACTGACATTTCATTTTCTTCAGTACCCTGACTTTCATTCCTATACATTTTGACTGCCATGCAAAAGCAAGGGGATTATAAGAGAATCTATAGATCTATATAAATATATATAATATATATATAAATCTATATAAATATAACCAGATTCCTCCTGTTGGAAGACATCTGTGATACACATTGTCCAAACTGTAAGTATTCTTGAGCTCAAAAAATAGTCTGTTTACCCTGAATGTAAGGTATTCACAACAAAAATTAAATGCTGTCTAGCTTGGGCTTGCAGTTACTAGAAACACTTATTTGTTACTTGAGCAGAAATATTTTTATGGTTGAATAATGAATAAACACGTCAAGTTCATCAACAAGAGTTTCTCTAGCAGACTTTAATAAAAGAGTGTAAGAAAAAAAGCATCTGTAGAAATACAATAGCAAGATTTAAAAATATCATACATTCACATGTTGGAAGAAGAGGGAAAGAGAAAGTTTTGCTAAACAAAATCGCCAGCTAGTAACAAAAAGTCTCATTGAAGAGTTTCACAGTAATATAGCATGTGTAGACATTTCAGTTAGTTATCAAGCAAGTTCAGTTACACAAAGAAGAGACCCTAAAATTCAAGCAAGATGGTTTTAATCTATGTCACATAAGATGATATTTGCCTTCAGGTGTGAAAGGTAATTTCACATGAAAATGTAGTTTGTTTTTAATTTATGGGACTAAGAAACATACAGTAGTACAGTTTTGTAGTCAAAATTAAAGAAAATAACAAAGTACAGTTATTTGAACTTTCCACAAAACAAGAAAATGGACTTCGTTGATTTGTTTGAAAAAGTGAAACATCACATATATTTGTATTAACACAGACGGAGATTAAAAAAGCTTTATGAAATAACTTTGGTCACCTTGGCAGAGAACACCAACATTTGGAAAAAACCGTGTTACCCCCACATACCCAAAGTACAAGGAAGAGACTCTTTTCAAAGTGCATCCCCTTCTCTGGTAGTTACAGATCAGCATGGTGGATAGGAATGCCTAAAACACAGACTCCAAATATCACAGTGAGCACAGACTAGAATCCAGGGAGCAAGTTACAATTTTCAAGTCTGTCTCTCAAGACACAGTGGAATCTAGAATGTAAGCCCCAGTTAGAAACTAGAAATCTATATCTTCTATCTCACTATTTTCAAGTGAGGGTTGAAAATTTCTTTTGCAGTCAGACCCTGAAACAGATCTCTTGAACTACCATGTGAGCTTCCCCCACCCTCGGAATGAACTCTCGACTGGAGGCAAGAACAAGGAGAAGATGGAAGTGGTAACACACATTGACAAGGGACTAAGATACAGGAGAGAAAACAGGAGAGAACAGCAATGAAAAAAATGTTCATCAGATCTCTTTATGAATTTTTATTTACTAAAACATTCATTAAAGGGTTTCAGCATTAAGTTAACACCATAACTTGAAACTGGTAATTGACTCTGTACTAGGAAAGTAATTAGACCTCTTTGAGATTATTGCACAAAAACCTGGCAGCAAACAATTTGAAAATGCACATATAGATCAGTTTCTGCAACTGAGTTACATAATGTTTCTAAAGTACAAAATATATATTGTTAAAGAATAGAAACTAAATACAATTGCTTAATTTTAAATCAAGTCCAGCAAAAAAATATTTTAATATGGCAATAATTGCTGCATGCATCCCTAATGTAGCTATTTCATCATGAATGCGATCATATTTCCACCCCCTCCCCAAAAATGTATAATCTTTACAAGAAACTCAAAATAGATAAAATATAACATGAAACATTTTCTTTTAATATATATTCCCATTTTGATATTTAATGCTTAATCTATAAATAGATGTTCTCTGATACAAGCATGATTTATGTGTTTTTGTGCTGTTTTAAGATTAAAATATTTTGTAGGAATAAGTCCAAAGCAGTTCATTTTTTAGTCACACTTGTAGTGAAAAAAATATTCTATTTCATAAAGTATCAAAACTGGAATTTGTTTTGCATTAGTGACTATATGCTGATGACTACTAAAGATATAATTAGTTCACAAAAAGTATTGCTTATCTGATGCTAGGTAAATACTATATACAGATATTTAAAGAGCAGTTAAGAAACATCATGTAGTGCTACTGTTAAGAAAAGGTTTTGAATAGTACAAAAGTTTCCAATAATTTATGTCCCGATTTTTTGTGTGTGCGTGCTACCAGGAAAAAAAAATTACAGGAGAGTAAAAAGAAAAAAAAAATGAAAATACATATCCCAATTACTCTCTGCTACAGGAACAAAAACATCTATTTTTTAATACAGAAACAAAGTATTGCATTGAATTAAGATTTCTACTAATTACAATTTTAATTTACTGAAGTAATATGGAGGCAGCATGTGGTAGATTTAAGTTCATACAATCTGTTAAAGTAATACACAATCAAAAATTAGTTATTTGATTTAAAACTTTTAGCTTGCTTCCAATCTGTAATTTCAGCATAGTGCTACATATTGTTCAGTCTTGAAAGCTAAAATCAAGAATCTTCAATTCTGATTCTATCATAAGCAAAGTTCACCTACACCTCGTCTTAAAACTTCTTAGCAGCATAGTCAGCTTTATAAAGAGAAAAAGGCAAAATATTACTATAATTTACATATTCTAATAATCTTTTCAAGGCATCAAAAGACCCAGCCTGACATTGTTATAAACATTGACAAAAATATATTAACATATACTTGCATTTACACTTCCAAAAATTTGTAGTTAGTATTAAGTTGGCCTATGAAGCAGTAGTAAAGTGCAAAATATTTGGTATAATATCTAGGGATTAGCCTTAGCTTCTGTAGAATACAAAGGATTAAGCCTGGCTCTTCCATTGACAGCTATGGTGTTTGATGGAGGACCAACCTGGAGGCAGGGTGGGGTAAAAAAAAAAAGAAAGAAAAAAAATTAAAGAAATGTTAAGCTAAATTTCCAGATTTTTATTTCTCTAATAAGTTACACACTGTTACTTCATTTAGTGTTTTTCTCATTCCAATGGAAGACCTCCTATATGATTTCTTAGCTAAGCATATATTCTACAGAAGTAGAAACAGAAGACATTACTTTAGAACATATTTTATCCTGACTAAAAATTTTATGTGTAACTATTCAAAAGACACATAATTTTTAGTCCTTCTCCACACCTGGTAGCAAAGTAGTACTTGAAAAAACATCACTAAACCAAACATTTTTATTAAATGTTGAATAGACCTGATTTCTTAATAAATCTTCTAAAACTTCTTTATACCTTGGTAATGTTTTTTATGAGAAGCAAACCATCACTTTTAGCACAGATAGCCAAAGCCTGATTTTCAGTGGAACTGCATAACCCAACAGCTCCAATTGGAGTAAATGGGAGCTGTAGATGCTCCACAGCCATAAGAACCACATACCACAGCACACGGTTTACTAAACACAATGAAAACATTCTCAAGAGAAAAATCGTTAAAAAGAAACCTCACTTGACCCTTTTTAGGTTAGTAATTACTGAGGCCTCTATTGAACAGGAAAGACCAGCAACACAAAAGGCCACAGATCTCAGCACTACATACAATGTATTAAGTAAAACAGAGAGTGAAAAAAATTAAAGAACTTGGCAAGTGGTGCCAGGATTTTATTTTTCAAATGACTGTCAGAGCTGCAAGGAGAGAGTGTATGGTAAGAGGTAAAAAGAGAAGCAAGCACCTGACAGACATCTCTCATTATTCAAACAGATAAGATTATTACTCCTTTTCCTGACTGCAGCACAATACTGGAAGCTATGAGGTGTATGCATTCTACAAGTCCTCTCAATTCTCAAAAGCACTTTTGGGTGCAAATAACTTATTGATACAAAATGCTTAATTTCCCTGTCCTACTGCGGCCAGTTCTCTGTGTTAAACATAAAATGAGACCATGTTTTTATTTGCTTTATTTTTTAAATTTGCTGTAGGCCAAAAAAATCTCTTTCTGCTGTCAGACATACCTGTACCACAGCATATGCACTCTAAGAGTGAAAAGAACAGCATGTACGATTTTATGCTTGGCAAAACTTCAGTGAGTTCTTCACTGCATTTTGTTTGTGTTCCAGGGGTTTTTTTAAGCCTGGTTCAGATTTCTGTGCTGCAGACTGCTTTTCTTTATGGTTACAGCTTCTTCATCATTATAATTTCTTCTTAAAAAGTACAGCCCTTTCATCACCCCAGTCTCAACATGTAATTTACTGACAAAGCACATCTCCCACCCACAAAAGAGAAAAGGAGGGGAAAACCAATTTCAGTCATTATCTCTCTCCCTACTTCCCCATGCCATTCTTGTACCTAGACTGATAAAGACTATATGGGTCAATGCTAAACTAGGAACATTTCTATTAAAAAGAATGAATAAACAAATGACGTGTCATATTATTCGGAATGTAATTATGCACTAGAAGAAAAAAATATTCTTAAAAATATACGCAAATAAAATCCAAACAGTATTTCTGGTACAACAGATTTTACCTACAACAGATTCTGAAAAATACAGCATTTGCTTAATCTTATCCTGTTTTTATTATGATTATTGACATGCAGTTAGAAGCAATTCTACAGTGTGTTATATACCATTTTTACTGACTAGAGATCAAACGCTACTTGAGCATGCTCGCAACTTTTCCAGGAAACCCAGTCTTCCTATTCACTGTAGAAAGGATGGGAGATTTACAAGCCTCAGAGAAGCTCTTGCACTACTACACTGAAAAAAAAATCTATGAAATGGAATGTTCCACTATCTGACCACTTACGTGAGATTCTGACCCCAGGGAATCAAAGACTTCCATAAAACAAACAAAAATGTCCCTTGTATCCACCTACCACACATCACTAGTTTCTTTCAAGCAGAAAAGGGAAGGAAAACAAAAAAACACTGATTTTTCTTGACCTTCTGCAATGAAAAATTATTCCTCAAAACAGAATGCAAAATACTAATGTGAGGTCAAGAAAACTTTGTGGGATTATGATTGTCTGGTTGCTACCTTAAAACAGCACAGATTTTAGAAATGTGACTGTTTTACACAATGAGAGATATGTAGGTTAATTTCAGGAGAGAAAGTTTTTAACCAGAGTAGGGTGAGGGAAGATGGTCCTTCCAGGACTGTTGACAAAACATTGAGAGAGATCTTAGTTATGATGCCTAACAGATTAAGGACCTGATAAAGTCTAATAAATAGGAAAATAGCCTTCAGAACTGTGTGTTATCTGCCTCCAAAAGTTGCAGCCACTTCAGGTATAGAACAAAGCTGCTCAGCAGGTTTGTAAAACCATACCATTTCAAACCATGTAAACACACACAAGACAGATTTTATGGATGAGATACTTAACTGATAACCTAGAGATTTCCATTTCATTTCAGGAAGATTTTGATTACATTTGTACTGTAAGAAAATACAGACATTTGAAGCTCTCTGGGTGCATTCACCAGTTTATTCTGCAAAGCTGACCCTCTTCCCCACCTCCCTTCCCACCTTTAAGAGACCTCATGGCAGCAGTATGTGCCAAAACTAACTGCTTTTAGAATCAGGCATTAGTACGGCAATTTTGAAGGAAGTACCATGAGTTCTTTGTTTTGGATGCAATGATGAAAACTCACCCTTTTCAATTTGGCAGCAGCTTCTCCAGAGCGGATTGCAGCCAGCAAGCTCTGGTGGATCTGTTCGGGGTCAGCGCGCGGGAGCGTCATCGCGGTTTGTCTCTTAGTGACAGGGTGTGGGTGGTCAGGGGAAGCACCTGACTGCGCCTGACTCTTCTGCTCACTGTGCACATGGCTGCCTTTCTATAAAGGGAGGAAGTGGAAGGAAAAGAAGCCAAAAAATTTTAATCTGAATTAGTTATAAATGGAAATCTGAATCAACCTGGCACAAGGGTGCATAGCAAACTGCTGCCGTTCTAGTGTTTGCTTGGTTCAAGATTTCTGAGATCAGCCACACTTCCAGCATAGCACATAGTTTCTCTCAAGTAATTATGCCAACAAAACTTTATCTTTTCATTCAAGTGTGCTTGTGGCATGACTATCTGAAGGCGAATGGATCACGCCATTCAGAATTAAATTTAAGAAACCAACACACAGAACTATAAAGAACAAATCGTAAGTGCTTCAAACATAAAAGTAAGTACTACACAGAATAAATGACTATTTAATTTACAGTTCTTTAAAGCAGGGAATGCTAATTATGGCAGGAAATTATTATTTCCAATCATCTGAATGATGCTGCTCTCATTTTTAACATTCCCTGTACTCCTGCACTTCATTAGAATGCTGTGTTACTGGTGGACACCGCAGGGTGTTCTCCCTGCACAATTACAGCGCTTTCTGACCAGGGAGCAGTTCAGAAACACGCCTTTACACTGGCTGCACTTGATGGCACTGGGTCCAGTCAATTAGTATTACAAATAAAGTTTACCTTATCCATTTGACTATTTTGTGACCCCGCTGTTATGGTCTGTAAGGAAGGACTTTTCACTTCAGGCACGGAGGTAGCTGAGGAGAATCCAGCTGCCAAAGGGACAGGGGAGTGTTCCACTGGAAATTCCTCTCTTGGTGCCTGGCTAGTGATTGTACGTGTCTTATTGAATGATTGTGACCTTTTGACTGCAGATGAGACAGCTAGAGCAAAAGGGGATGGTCTTGAACTTGAGTACGGCTTTGGAACTGCAAAAGTTCTAAGAGTTTTTAGATTCAATGGTGCTGGAGGACAGGAGGGAAAACTTAAAGGCTTACTGCTTTTAACAGGAGAAGTGGAAGATTCAGTGTTTTTTCCATCATCAGCATTTTCTCGATCGGCAGGAGGAGAGGGAACACTCGTTTTTTGTAAAGCCAAAGAAGTCAAATCAGGCGATGAGATTTTTTTACCCATCTCTGTATTCTTAACTTCACTTTGAATTGAATTAGGAGCACAAACTGTGCTTCTGGCAACTGCAGATGTCACATAGTGACCTGAAGCTCTTCGTTGCATCTGCAGATAAAAAGAACTAGGCTTCATTGTAGGACTTAATGGACTTAATGCATTTGACTTGTCCTGAGTCTCAGAAGAAGCATTTGTATTATCCAAGTTTAGCATCAGTGGGACACGCTGCTTGAAAGACTCTCTTTCCATCTGGTTGTTCTCGGTAGTAATGTCAGCTCCAGAGGTCACAGTATGTTCAGAAACGTTGTTCACTCTCTGCAGTGGACCATTTGCCGCTGCAGCTTCATTTTGTGAACCAACCTGTAAAGGACCCACACTTTTTGACAGATGAAGAATTTCCCTTTGCACTATTAATTCTCTGGGGTCTTCCAAAGTAGACACCTCTTGATCCTTGTGATCTGATAGAACTTCTGATTCCCAGCTCTTCATCATTTCTAAGAATTTTGGAGGCACTATCTTATAAGTAGTCATCCCAATTTTTGGTATGTAATCCCTTGTAATTTCATTAGCAGGTTTGGGTTTAGGTTTGGTGTCCTGTCTATAAAAAGGGTGACCTTTCACAGAAGAGTCATCTGGAGTTTCAGCAGTTGTTTCTCGTGAAGCAAAATCACTACCATTTATACAGATGTGACTCTGGTCTTTTATTGGAATTACTTTTTTATGAGTAACTTCTTGTGTCTCAAGACTTTGTTCTACTGAAGTATCTTCACTCTCTTGATGCATCACTTGAACAAGGGAGTTGTTCTTCTCTCTGTTATGTTGAGGGACCAGCTCTCTAAATGTGGATGATTCAACACCCTGAGGAACAATCATTTCCTTCTGCGCAGTCCTTCCCAAATTGCTATCCAAAGTCTGGATTCCAACATCCTGAGTTTTTACTGTGTCCAAGCCAGTTTGATTTGTTTTGTCATCTTGCTTTTCTGAAATCAGTTGAGGATAATTCCTATGACTTACAGAGATGTCATTTTTACATGCCTGGCAGTTTGATAGTCTGTCAACTTCAAGCTTGTTATTTTCTCTAAAATCTACTGTTTTAATTTCAGCTGTCTCGAGTTCTTTCCCTTCTTCTGTTGCTGGAAGGAGTTTTGTATCACTGTGATCTTTAAGTTAAAGAAAGATTCCAGAATTAATAAAAATGCCAGAAAGATTCAATTACTTCCATCATGACACTCTGCATTCAGTGCTATTTAATAACAATGACTAGCATCTCACTGATGCTAACATTTTCCCCAATTTTCTCTTTTAAAGGCTATTTAAAGATATATTCATTTTTGACTAATATTGCCAAATATTGTATTCTAATTCAGGTATTCTTCCTTAATAAACAGGTTACAGATGCTATGTATTGACTTGATAGAAAAAACTAGTCTAGACCAATTTAGAAAGTGCTAATGCATTTCAATTCATTATATAGGTAGGCATCAGTGACTCAAGAGCTCAAGGACTACTCAATATCAAGTTAGATGCTGTTTTTATTTAGTTCCACATATTTGTGGCTTCTTTAGTTTAAGTGTTACAAATCTTGTCAACTACACCTTACATATTTGTACAAGGAAACAACTGAAAAACATATGGACAAGAGCAATCTGCCAAACCTATTTTTCCTATGCTTTAGTTGGTCTGGTAATTCAGTTTTCTACCCCTGGACTAAACATGTGGTCATCTCCCAAACACATGAATATTTTAGTCAAATTGTTTTAAACACAAGATTGGAAAAAATTAAATTCTTCAGGAATGGTTATATGGGAGTGGTATTTTGTGGGGGGGATAAAAATCCTAATTTCATGAATGCTATAAAATGGCAGTTAAAATTTATATCACATATACAAAGGACTTGTGTTGTTATGATTTATTAACAGAGGTGTACTGAGTGTAAAAGACTATAGAAGGCCCAACATATAAATCTGAAAATCAGTTTCACAAAAGAGTAAAATAAATCACTCAGATCGCTAAATCCACAGAGAAATTTATGACCCATTAGATGCACAGGATGTCGTCATTTTGCTTCAGATCACTGTGTCACTTTCTTTTATTTGTGCCTAAAAATATTTGCGTTTTCATGTAGAAAACTCACCCTAATTTCATAAGCAAAGAACAACTGATGGCTTCTTCTTCCCCAGCGGGATGTGGAAGCCATGTCACCCCACATGGCAGGATTACCTTTGTGTCCAGCCACCCCTCCTCAGCACTGTCCCACCCACACCATCCTATAACAGCACGATGCAGCTTTAACTACTGCTAAAACAAAATTATATTAAAAACAAACCCAAAAAAACCCAAAACTGCAGCCAATTCTTGCCACATCATCTCAAAAAAATACACTAGAGCTAAAGCACATGTAAAGAAAATAATCTGATGATAACAATTCAAGAGTTCACTATATAACTATTTCTTCAAATGATTAGAAAAGTTCAAGCTTCAAGTATTAACAAGTGGGAACTACTCACCATCAGTTTTATTTTCATCTAAAATTTTAAGCTTCCTGTCTGTTTGAAATCCATCATCCTCACTGCTTATTTTAGTCTGTAGTCCTCTGCAAAGCACAACAGTACATTAAATATGCTGGTATCATTCATTTCAGTAAACACAAGAAATGATGCAAGAGAACTGGCAATATTCTCCAAACACAGATGGACAGAACCACTCTGCCAAACACTGGAATACTCGACAGAATCAATTTTTTTTAAAAAAAACATGAGGAAATGCTGCCATGATATTTTACCAAAATGACATGCAGCTCTACTTGCTTCTGTGTAAGCAGATGATCAGTCTTCCTTTCTCTTCTCCCCCTCCTTTTGTTTACACGTGCAGTTTGAGCAAGCCACTTTCTGTTGCAGTGTGTTTCTTGTTAATAGTATGTTCAGTTATTACCAAACCAAACTTAGGGTTTGGTCCAAATGAGACCCTGCCACCCCATGTTGTCAATCTACCCTGAGTCTCCTGTCAATCTGTCTTAGGCCCACTGGATGCTTGGAATTCCTCTTCGGAAATCCCCTAAACTGCTTGATTAGTCCATGTGACCCAACTTTCCCCCCCCTACCTCCCTCACTGGATGATGATTTTGTGAACCCTGCCTTTTACCCTCCCCAGGATATCCCTGATCAGCTGATGCTTTGTACCCTCCCTTTGAACCGCCTCCCTATTTCAGCTGTTGCGTGCTCGCATTTTCTGTCTTTTGCCCCTGAGATTCCCCAGAGCAATAAATCCTCTATTATCCCATGCAAAAGACCTCCCTCTCGTCCTTGTCTCCTCAGAGCACAGACTGACAGCCAAAAAGCCGTAGAGTGAGTGCTCTAGTCACACCTGGGGTCATCCTGCTCCTGAGGTGTGACCCACTCCTGTCACAGGCCCAAGTGATAGAGCCAGATAAGCTCCAGTGAGATGCGATACCTTTCCAATAGCAACTCCATTCCAGTGAAGCCACAATGCTTTTCACTCATAATAAAGTGTTCTGACACACCCCAATCCAAAATGTATCCCTGACTTTGTCCCCACCACGCTGCATGAGACACTGGCTGTGTATGAACCCATGAACTGAGCAGTACAGACTTCTCAAAGTAGTCCCTTTCAAGAAATATCTTGAGAACAGCAAAGAAACACACTTGCATACTAAACATCTTGGAAATGCATACAATATCTATTTCACTCATTTCATGGGGGACAAGTGAACTGCAAAAATGCTGAATAAACAGCTCATCTTTTTGGGGGCAGGGTGGGGCATATTAAGTCCTTGGCCTCAAAAGGTAAGTGAAAAAGGCAAAAATAATTTCTTAATAAAAAGTTATTAAAACATCAAACTTTGTTCAAGATATTTTTATAATATTTAGTTAGAAATACTGGTATACTGTGAAGATTCCAAATTATTTGCCACATCAAATGCATTAGTTGTCAGAATCAGTGCCTTGAGCTGCCACACCTCCTTTGAATCATTGAAAATGATACATTTCTCAACAACCATCCATGCTCTTGTTGCCTGTATAGTCCCAAACATACTGTAAGTGTGCCATAAACCACTGAACAGGAGCACATGCTTTCAAAATTATTGCTGGAAGGTTAAAGCTCAGTCCTGCACTCTGTACTCTTGCTTAGCTCCATTCCTTTTAACACAGCTGGGTGACTGAGCTAAAACTTTTAACAACAAGCTGAACTAGATTTTTAATAGGAATTTTAAAAAAATCAAAACCAACCAAACCCAAAAGCCCCAAAACACCACGGAGCATCACAATAGTAATTAGTGGCTTTGACTGGAATATTTTGCATGTATCTCTGGTTTGATTTAAAAAAAACACTTCTCATAGTAACTAGATCTTATATATAAGATCACAATGATCTGAAGTTTTCCAGAAATATCATGTCAGAGAAATTCTACTCCTCATTTTGGAATCCCCAAGATATCTCAGGAAGCAATTGCCAAACTCTAAAGCCAGAGTGCAGTATCTTCTAGCTGATTGTCACCAGGACTGTAAGACATGAAAGGTTACTACCAATGCATAGGGAGGAAGGGAAAGAAACATACCCTGGACAATTAGGCAAACTGGCCCCATAACACAGGCCTGATAAATTACAAATTCAAGACAATTTATTAGATACCCAAAGAGAAACATCCAAGCAACCGGGACAATATTTCCCAGGACAGAGTATCAAAGACTTTTGCAAAGCCACATTTGGCTTTGGACTGACAAAAACGTCCCTTCAAATACAAGTTAAACCTCTCTTTACTACCTTGAAAGTTCTTGGCTACTAGGGCAGTCACACGTTTTGGCTTCAGTACAATAATCGAAATAGTTCTTTCAATTTAATTTGGGAACAGTAGCCAGCTTAGTTGCCCCAGGGAACAGAGAAATAGTGAATTACATTAACACAATGGGACTTCTCTGGACAATCAACATTTATTTCAAGCAGGCACTAACTCATGTTGGAAACCTGCTGAGTCAGGCAGTTTAACAAACATGCTGAAGGGCAAAGGTACAGCATCACCAGAAGGGAAAAAGAGCAGTTAAGGAAACTAATGTGTTTATTCGTTAAAAAAGCTGAATTAACTTGTTTTCCTGAGAGCAAATGGATTGAGACAGGTCAAGACCACATATAAGGAAAAGAAAAAAATAAAAATTAAAGCAAAAACAAACATGCAGGCAATAAGAATCACGCCCAAAAGAACAGAAATGGCTGATGTATCTATTGTCCCCCATCTGCAAGAATGAATTTGTATATTTTCATTTAACTAATCAATCCAAATTTTTTTGCAGCATGCTGCTCTAGTAAACACACTAGGGCATTTTAGAGCTGGGTTCAGCTTTTCTGGGCTCCAGCTGTTTGAGTAGTAAGGAAAGGGAAGATTAAATAGAATAGACTGCAGAACATTTCATTGTCATTTTTGTTGGAAAGCTTCATGAATTACTGTGCACAAACGAGTGCTACAATGAAAGCTAAGCACATTAAAGTTCATTCCTCTCTCACAATTCTCTGTTCTGTGCTTCACAATGAAACAGCACTCTGCATTTTATTTGCCTCCCCCATTGTCCCCCCAATGCTCCTTTCTTTGTCACAAAACGTACTTACTTGCCATCTGTGCTCATATTTTCTTGTTTTTCTTCCTTGAAGCTTTGCAAGTTGTCTGTGGGAACACTGCCAGGAACAGGAGCTGATGAAGCAGGATCATTTTTGTCATTTTCCAGTGGTACCTCAGCAGAGCTGAAGGCTGCAGTAACCTCTCCTATCCTAGGAGAGGTATTGGTACTTCCACTGTCCTCTCCTTGTTGCACACCTATCTCTTCCCTTTCATCAATTTCTTCCAGGTTGTACACATCTACACTCACAAAAAAAAAAAAAAAAAAAAAGGAAAGGAAAGTAAAAATACCCCCAAACCAATAAAATCCAAACCAACCCACAACTCGAAATGCAGGCTGTATATTAAAAGGGACTGCTCAAGTCAGCCTAAATAGTTTGAAGAAGGAAAACTGACTTTTTTTCATAATTCAGATAAATTTTGAAAAAATAATTTAAAAAAGAGAACCATCCAGACTTCACAGAATTCTCTGGTTCTTTTCAATTCTCCCTCTTGACACAAGAATATGCTGACCACTAGGCTACTGTCCATCTGGTTCTGCATCTCTACCTACTGTGAAACATTTTCCATATTTAATCCAAGTATTGAATTAAGATTGTTAAATATATTTTTATTCATCTCATAACCCCAAATTTAATGGAGGTGGACTGTTGCTTTTACCCAGACTTCTTGTACTTCCATTAGCTCTCCAGAGAGTTTTAAAACACACAGTTCCTCTATATCATAGTAGGAATTTTCAAGAACTAAAGAGTAACACAAATCTCAATTTTGCCCATGGTTTGAACAAGTTTCATTATCACTATCAAAAATTCCCCATAACCGTCACAAGTGTATTACAGTGTCTTGTGCGTAGCTTCATGTTAGAGTAGAAAAATAAAGTTCACGGAAAAGTGCTAATCTATAAAAATATTGACATTTGCAGCCAGAGCATAGTTAAACTAAAAGGTTGAGTTGCTGGATTAGGACACAGATAAATCGGTGTAGTTAAATTTGAACTAATAAGTACACCTGACTGGGGTACTCCTATCAGCTTTGGGTGCACTGACACCTGTTAGGAACAAGCCTTGCACTTGGACAATCAGGTTTCAGTCTAAGTGGTATCAATAAATTTCCAAGTGTAAACCAAAGTCAACAAAGAAAACAAAAAGGAATACCGGGAATTCACAGATCCCAGAGTACAAAAACAAAACAAAACAAGCAGTTAGACAGACATTTTTAGCAGCTGGTATTCCACAATGCTTCCAGCAGCTCTAGAGATGTACAGTGTTACAGAAAAGTAGTGAGAGGATGTCTATATTGGAGAAAGGCTCAGTACAGAACAAAAACCTTGATGTTTACAATAAGGTCATTAGTTAAGAGTTCAGTAAAACCAAAGCTACTCCTTCAGAGTTACAGAAAAATACAAAAGCCAAACATTTTACTATTTAATTCTTGGCTTTATATTGCAATCTTGTAACAGTGCTTTGTAGCTACACATTACGCAATGTGATCAACACCTGACATAGAGCTGAAAGCAGAAGCAGTTTAGGTCCCCAAGGAAAGAAAGGCAAGACTGCAAAGTGGTGCGGGTGAGCTCGTTCCATGTGGTTTCAGCCCAGGTACATACAAATACGTCATACTCGTACTACAGGGACTCCCACAGGTTTACTAGTCATAAGGGCCTTCTCTTCCTTTCATCATCCACCAACCCCTTTTCCACCTACGGAAAACTCATACCCAGCAGCCTCATACTTTGGGGGATCATTTTAGTTATGGCAGTATGATGTCATGTGTGACAAGTTATATATATATGTCAAAATGAACAAACAAAGCACAGCAGGATGTGAGCAAATATTAAACCAGCTCAGATTGTCCCACAGCCCATAAATGGCTCTCTAGAACATTGCCTCTTTCACTGGTGAGGCCTATTATGCCATGGGCCTGAGCCATCACCAGCTACAGGAACAAAGACTGACATTTTCAGTCTAAATACTCTATGGAAACCTGAATTATACAACAAAGAATATCCAGGACTCTGACAAGAGAAATGGAAGCATTTTGGAGCTGCTATGGCTTTGTGCCCAGGCACTGCTGTCATTTCTCTGCTGCTTTTACTCTGGAGAGGAGTGTAACAAAGGCTGAGTTGTATCTATACTCCTGGGATGGAAACTTAGCTTGGGTTTGTAGGAGACATTCCTGACATTCCTGCTATGTGAAAGTCTGTTCTTTGCTGTGCTAGAAACACTTCCAAGCGTTGGGGTGGACTAAACTGACCTACAAATGGATAATACCAAACAAAAACAACAGCCCTCACACTTCTTCAAAAATGCTCTACCTCATTTGTCAGCATAAGATCAGCCTTGCTTGCTAGTGGATTTTCATCTGTTACTGGGTCTCATTCCAGACCCAGGCTGTCACTGCTGCAGCAGAATAAAATCTGAATACATTTGAACACAAACAACATTTAACAACCATCCTTCACTTATGTCATGCAGGTAACTCCCTAGGGCAGCAGTTCAGATTCTGATTTGTTTCCAAACCCTCAGTCTGTAACTTTCATATGCAACATGTTTCTGGGAAGAACTGGCTATATACTGTTGTCTTATTGCTGATACACCCTATCCATAGTTCCACACGTAATATAAATTGCATTTCTACTTGCATATAGTTTATTCTTTTCAAACATTTGTCACTGGGTCTTAAGTAGCCCTAAACCAATAGAGCCAGAGTTACAGTGTGTCACTGTGAAGGTAGATATATAGAGAAGTGTGCACACATATATATATACACACATCCCTGATGACTGACATGCCAACTGCAAGTCTGTTCTGAGCAGAAAGAATACCCTTTGCCCAGCAGAGAACAGTGCTACTCTGTGAGCTCTCACTCATAAGCACCAGAGCCGGAAAGCCTAACTACATCCTGCAAATCTGCTCTTGACTCTATAGCCCCCAACAAGGTGCTTAAGAAATACTGTAACCAATAGGATTATATCCAGGGATTTGTCTGATGGAAACTTCTCTAAAAATCTCTAATTTCAAAATTTGTTTTGAATACTGTTTTACCACGTTCCCTAGAAAACTAAAGATTAAGCATTAATTAAACTTTGGGAAGGTGAACCAAAATCATAATTGATAAAGATAATTGTTGTTTATAATTCCAAATGTTCACATTACTTCTCTGCCAATGCTTATGCTGGTAGATGCGTGTCTTCAAACTACTTTTGTCAAGGTACACGCTGTTTTTACACCATGGGAAAACTGTCATTTCACAAGAGAAATGTTGCCTGTTCCATACTATATAGCTACACTTAATATACGTGTTTCTAAGTAGTGCATGGCTAACAGACACCAAATTGAACATTTGCAATGGCTCATTTTAGAGCAAAAGGTAACACTGTATTTGCAGCTTACGGTTTTTTGCTTGTTTGCAGAAGTACCACTGCATAACAGAACCACTCTGGAATGCCAGTCACAACCAAACAAAAACTCACTTACAATACTTCCCAGACGCCTGACAATTGAAGCAATATGAATCCATATGTAAGGAACTCCTGGGTTTTTGTAAAGTTAAAATTATGTCCAACTTCGCAATTTAAGTGATACTGAACTATTTTATCCATTTAAAACAATATCCAAACATGGATAATTTTCAGACTAGGAATAGGACAGGTGTACTGCATCTGATTTTGCTGCAGGTTAATACTGGTTCTCATGGCATTAGGGGCTTTGCTAAAAGGACCCTTTATACACAGGCCTCACGACAGTTTCAGAGATGCCACCAGAGAGCAGCAGTATCCCATGAGAAAAAAAAAAACCAAAAAAACTGATGAAGTTCTTTTATGTGACTTGTATGTACATTTAAAAAAACTGCTTTACATTAAGTCTTCAGCAAAGGGCACTGCGTGAAGACACAAGGAAAACCAGATTGTCACTAACTGCAAAGGTAAATCCAAGGGCTCAACACAGGCTGCTTTAAGCCCAGTACCTTTTTTTATTTCTTTCCATTACAGCTTAAATTAAAATATTTAATTATAGGACTCAAATGCCTCAAGCAGAAGTTTCTAAACCTATGGAAAAATAAATAAGCCATTTCTTGTGCAGGGTTGTTTATCTACACAGCACTTGGACATTACAATGATGGGAAAGGCAAAAATTCTAGCACAGATCAACAATCTTAAGATAGAAACAAGTACAAGAAAACAAAAGAACTTGATTTAAAATCACAGTATGATACACTTACTCATCTTAGACCCATTACATGTGGATACAGTTTTCAGCACACAAAATTCAGAACTAATAAACAAACCACTCACTCAGAATTGATTATTCTGTTTCATCTGCTACAACATCTAGGACAAGGTAAGGTTACAACTTAGTTAGATCTTCGACCCCAGGCTCCACAGTATAGGTTCATACTCCCATTTATTATGTTACATATTGCTTCTACTTAATGTCTTTTCCAATAATTTACATGAATTCCCCTAAATACAAACCAAGCCCAAGTTTACTGATTACTGATTTTTTATTTTTCCCCCTTTGCCAGACACCTAGCATCCTAGCAGATGATTTTTCAGCTCTTGTGGTACTTTTTTGTTTTACCACTCCAAACAATTTGACTGGCATCCAGAATAAAACAGCTGGAAAACTACTTAAAAATTCCTGTCAACTAGCACAGTAACTGAGTGCTTAGCCTAATATAATGACAGTGGCACTCCACAGGCTTAGCATTTATATACTTCACTCTTATTAAATGCACTGAAGAGTTATTCTTTCAGACTGCACTGGCACTGATTATTCTAAAAGCTTTTTCAAATTTTAGAAGACTTCTAGATGTTGTATCTTGTAACTGAACCCTACAGTCTGGTGCTTACAAACAACAGTATTTCACAGTACAAACTGCATAAATTTAAAAAAGCATTATGTTCAGCAGCTAAATAATTGTATTTTAAACAGCTATACTTTCATATATCACATTTTTCCCATAGCACCCAACAAATAATTTAATGTATAAACAACTATTTATGCATTCAGTTTAGATTTACAACTTATGTTTTCAAAGGCTGTTCAGATGCCAACCAAAAGCCAGGCACAGATTTGCTCCTGCCCCTACGTTATGCAGGTCAAGGGCAGCACAAGGCAGGACTCTAAAAACAACACTGGGCTTCAGCTTTTGAAAAGCTTGTTATGTACAAAAAAAAAAAAAAAAATCACAGAAATTCTGGATAGTTCTTCTCTGTAACTTGTTAGGAAGGAGAGAAAACAGGGATAATGTTTAGTTTATTAAATGTAAAACACAGATACCAAAACAAAACATATTGTATTTATGTCTGTAGACAACAAAGGTAAAATACCCTTATTTTAGAAAGCCCTATTTTTAGTTCAAAGGAAAACTTAATTGATCTGAAGCATTAAAATTAGTTCTATACTTATGACACATCTATAGCATAGTAATTTATTGCTATGAATTATAGCGACTTGCTATTAAATAAATTTTATCAATACTTTTGTAGATAGAACCAACCTGTTTCAGGCTGCATTTCAGTGGCTCTTCCTTCCGCTTTACTGGAGGCTGATTCTGTTGACTCTGTTACTGCAAAAAGTGAAGCAACAACCCTTATCACCTCTTAGTTTCTGCACCAACAAAAGTTGCAGATAAAATGTCAGATTGTGGTCATACAGACTAGTGATTCCTTCAAGAAACTCCTCTGAAGCAACTAGTGCTCACTGTCACATTTTCCAGATATTTTAATCTCAACTCTTAGGTATTTTTGAACCAGAAAACTGAATTTTTGATCAAAAGGAAGAATTACAAAAAAAAAAAAACAAGTGGACTTTCTCTATGATATTTCTAGTCAGTCCATTTGCTATTACACTCTCTCTGATCCAGAGAAGCTAATCTTTTCTCCCCACCCAAGCAGTCCACCTGAGTAACACAATTCTATACTTAACCTAACTATAATTAATTTGGTACTGTCTGTGTCTTTTCCTGTTCTGCATGCTCTAAATATCTCTCTTTCTCACACTTGTGGGAAAACAACAGAAGATTGGTGAGGATTGTAATCACACTCAAGTGACTTGCAGTAGGGGTGCAAAACCCCACATATATGATATTAATTGCTCTTTAATCTTGTGTGTTTGACAAGTGGAACACCTGTGTTCAGATAATATATGCCTGTGATAGACTTGGGAGGCATCTTATGGGAAGTGCTGGAGATTCCTGCCCTGCAGTGGGAGAGATCAAAGCACTGTTGTAAATACACCTGTGTGAATCCCTGACACAGAGAGAAGGGAGCAGGTTTGGCAATCGTCTGGCACCGAGCTGTGCGGTGCCGGTGTTCCCACTTGGGTGTCTCTGCCCAGCTGCTGCTTCAGGCTTCCCCAGTTGGTGAGGTAGCAAAAGTAAATTTATTCTTTGCTTTCACAGTTTTGTGGTTGCTCGCTTGAGGTTCTTATCTCATGAGGTGGCATTACTTTAATGTTTAGCCAGCTATACTTTCTGTTGCCTTCCAATTAAACAGCATAAAAAGATTACCAGGCTCATTACTGCTTTCACTTTGATCTTCTGGTGCTCTAGAGGGTGGTGAGGGCGCCTTGCGCTTCATCCTGCGCAGAGAGGAGTTCACGGAAGCAGTGTCACTGAGCGGCAGGGAGCCTTTCCGCACTAATCCCAGAGGGGCCTGCCAAGGGAGACAGGGCAGGAAGATTATTAGCAATCGGTGAAAAATAGTGAAATAGCTCCAGTAATTATTCTCCAAAAGTATTTATAATATATATTTGGGAAAGAGAGAACATATTACCAAACGTATTGTGTTTTTCATCTTAATTCCTCCAAGGAGCTGTTTTTAAAAAAAAAGATTTTCTCGAGTAATTGAATATATTCACAGAGGTGCAAAATAGAGCAATAAAAGAAAATCAGTTGTTACATATGGTGCAAAAGAATTTGAATACTTTTATGCCCAAAGGCTATTCTAAAAACCCAAAATAAATCTTTTCTAAAAGGAAATTCATTGTGGAAAGAAGTTTCAACTACACCCCACCACACTGACATAACACAGTGTTTCCTTCTCTATTCTTTCAACAGCAGTCCTAACTGGCCTGTATACATAATTATTATGAACGTCTTTCCCTCCTTGAAATACCTGAACTTTCATAAAAAATTTTGGAATGCCTGATTTCAAAACTTGTCAAGTACAACTGTCTTAAAACAAAACAAAAAAACTTATAAAGTACAACTGTCTTATTTAACAAAATTAAATTCAGTAAGTTGTAAAACTGAAGTTATAGTACCTACTGATGTACCTACAGCATAGTAATGTCCCCATTACTGTAAGCAAAAGTAAAAAAATCTTAATTCACAAATAATCAAAACAATTAAAAAATGGACAAAGGATACCTGCTGAACACCTTATATTTTTATGATACAGCAGTCCAGTTGCATTTTAAGCTGTTTTAGAAACACATTCCCTAAGAAAGACAGGAGTTGTAAATTTGCCTGCCATTCTCAACAACAGTTTGCCTTATGCTGAAAAAAATTATATCCACATGTACTAAATGGACAATGTTCAGGATCCCAGCAATAAAGGAATGTATTTTGGAACTGAACACAGCTGCCTGTTTCTGTAGTAATTCTGATTCCTATAACTTGTCTAAACAGTATAATAAAATCCTGCAGTGACATTCATTTCTGTCTAGAAGGATCCACACAGCAGTTGGGTGTAGGGTCATCTCCAGAGAATTTCTCTGTGCTTCAATTAACCAGCCCACTTCACAAAGCACAATATCAAGGAACAGAGAAGGCATAAAGACACCTACATATTCTTGTTTCACTGAAAATCCTTTCAAAAACATCAGACAATAGAATTGTTGACCGTGTCAATTTCCATGGAAAAAGATGCTTATCATTTAGAAAGCTACCACTGAACAAATACCCAAAGATTCCACAGTAAGTGGGATATTAAAGACCAAAAGCTAGAGTATTTGGCTGCATACAATCAAATCTATAAAGAAAATTACAACAGAAAATATACTAGCACAAGGTGCCTGTCAGGCAGTGTTTGGCAGCTCCCGTGAGATTGCAGAACAATACCTGAATGAATGAAGAGGGCTTTGAACAAAAAACTGTCCTCTGAGCCACCCTGGGCACCCTCAGTCATCTGCTTTGTCCCACCCTGGTATCAGGTACAACAGATCCACAGATACTGCACTATAAGGAGCACCACCGCCCAAAAACATACACACAATTCTACCCATCATTCTGATGCCAAAGCAACCAACTCAAAACTTTTTACAGCAAAGCAAGTCAGGGTTTAAGAGCAAAACCACAAAGCACAAGGTGAAATGTTCTTTTAAGAACACCAGAGGATAGGGACACAGCACTCCTAATTAAAAATGCTTGCATGCTTGAGTAGTTTTCAAACGAGTTTCTAGATTAAAATGTCACACAACAAAAAACACTTTACACTTTTATAATTTCTTATTCACAGTTCCAAAATAGTTCTTAAAAAGTAAAAATAATTAATAGTATTCAGCCTTTGAATGTATTCAGGAGAGGATATCAAATGCAATATTATTTCCCCCAATGAGGCTTTTTTTTTGGCTGAAGTATTTTCTCCTCGCAGTTGGGCAGTTGTGTTAGTCTCTCTGGCAGCTGTGCTCAGGCTGCAGCCTCTCTGCTCTGCACAAAGCCACATTTCCCTGTTCCCAGGTCTGCACCTCTTGTGCTTCACACAGGCTCCCTCAGTGACTCGGCTGGCACCGAGCTCTGCGCACGCTCGCTCGGCTGAGCAGATGTCACCAGAGTTCCCTTCTGCACACAACAAGTGCGTGTGTAGGGGGGGAATAATGTTCTCAGCATAAGAGCACAAATGCTACTAGAAGATTTTTATAAGCCTTTCTACTGCCCTTTGCATCCAAAGAAACAAACAATTTGCAAAGAGAGATTTCAAGAAAGTACTAAATGTTCCAGTTAAGGTTCAAGTGTTGAACAGATTTTCTCAGGAATTATTCAACATATGAATATTAAGAGCTTTCAAATCCTAACAAAGGCTGTAATGTGAAAATAGTACTTTAAACAGATGGAAAAAAATTAAAATAATGTTATTAAGACATATCTGACAAAGCTTTGGAATATACATCTGGGTGTTCATGTGTCATACCAACTGCCTATGATAACCAGTGCTTTATCAGTTACATTTAAATTAAAATTCTTGTTAGGATCACTAAAATAATTAGCTGTGTTTATGCAGAAACACCAGTGAACTCTGTCACAACTTCTATAACATATGCAGGAGTTCTGCTTTTAACACCATACAGTCTCCCTCATCCTGCAAAAAGCAAGGGTGGATAGGAAAACTTTTTTAGTTTCAAATTTGGCACCAAGTCCCACCCAAAGCAAACACTAGTAGATGTCAGTGCTTCCCAAGTCCCAGCCTCTGTAAGCAGTGGCAGACATAGTGCCTTGCCCTTATCATTTCAAAAAAGCAAATAAAGGTAATTAAGGCACAGTAATTTTGAAGCTGCAATGGAAGCAAAAAGCCAAAAAGCATTTGGGAAGGAATACAGTGGTAGTGGAGCATTTCAGCGTGCTGGAAAGCCTACTTCACACCAAGGGTCACTGGACAGAGATTTTCATATTACCATCCTGTTCTGCTCCATACCTATCTATGTTTAACAGAGGTATATGGGTGACTGTATCTTGTAGGGATAGCAAAGCACATTGCTACTCATATTGCTAATATTTCTTTCTTCCTTTTGTGTATTCAGGCAAGCATACAAAACGTCCAAGGAGTAACAGAAAAAAATATGTATTTGCTCCTACAGTGATTCATACATTCAATTTCCATTACATGGCTTAAGCTTCCCAAAATACTTAAACTTATCCTAAGTACTACAAAGGAAGTATTACACCTCTGATCCATTGGTAAGAAAAGACATATAGAATATGTTTGGAGAAACTCAGCTGGTGATATTCTGTCCCAACAACCAATATGACTATTTTCTCCTAGGATTTATCTTGCTGGTAGAGAAGCAAATACAATAAAGAAGTAGTAAAGTAAAGTTATGTATTTGACACACTGAAAAGTGGGTGCATGCAACATTCACCACCAATTCTGAACCATCTCAGAATAATATCCGATTATCTTCATGGAAACTTCAGGCAGCCCTGAGCACTCTCTTCTCCCTGGTAACTCTGACTCTACCCAAAATATCCCTACTTCCATAGTGCTCAATGCATCATTGCCTGACTTCTTTAAAGAGCTGACCATCAAGTCGCCAGCAAGCAAGCCTCTGGTGTAATTTCTTCAGCATGGAACACACCCCTCACAGAAATCCTAACTAACCTTTCCTGTGACAATGGCTAAAAAAATCTTTCCAGAAGTACTTTATGGTTTAGCTGCTTCCCACCCTTCTCCATCTTCTTCTTCCCTTTCTTTTTTAAGAGGTAGCCTGGAGATTTAGCTTTCTTTAAGAGCTACGGTTGTGTAAGTAACAGCAATTTGTATTTCTACAGTTGAGAAGTTCTATCCATTATTTTAAACTGTAAATGTTTTAACTAAAAATCTCCACTTAATTTTTCCTACCCAAGCATAGTTTATGCATGCTTCTAACAATAACTGTAAACAGGGTAGAGAGAATTAATGGGATAAAATGCAGATGTATCAGTCTAGCTTTTATAAATAAAGCAGTAGGAAGAAAATCAGCCATGGCATTTTGAGCATATTCAAATGCTTTTCTTTTAAAGAAGGGCTATTACTAGAAAATTGCAACCACTTTTATGAAAACTGTGAAGATACACACACTAAATTATACAACAACATTTTGCAAAAACCCTTGAGAGTCCTCTCTACTTGGAAGTGTATTTAAACTTGCTAATTCTAAACATGCTTCTGACAAGAGTCATCTTGCCCAGAACTAGAACTGGCAAATAAGGGATTTCAATATTAGATACTAACATGCTCATTTCCCACCTGATTGAACATAAAAATTTGCTGGACAAACATTAACCATTTAAGCTTACTAGGCATCTTTCAAGTCTCATGTAGAAAAAATAAGCAAATCATGCTATGTAATAACTTGTTAAAGGTACCCTGACATCCACTGTACTATTTTCTCCCCTAAAAATAGGACCATGTCCCTAAAAATGAATTCTGTAACCACCTTGAAATGGAGGCAGAAAAAATTCCAGCCTTCATATCAGAATGCAAATACTCACACAAAGAGAAAGCAGTTTCTTTAATGGAAAAGTAGCGGAGAAGCTGTAGGTGGTAAACATTAGAACCCTTTTTCACACTGTGAGAAACTGGACTGCAATATGTTGAGAATTTGAAGAAAGACAACAGTAAGAACTCTGTTCCCTTAAAGTTGGTTCATTTCACTGTTGTCTGATGTTACTACTTTGACACATTTCTCTCAAAACTAGGCAGATAGTTCATCCAGGCAAAACTGACATTTCACTTTGTCTTCTTTGTGGATGTTACAAAAGAGATTTGTCCATAATAGGGCCTATACAGAAGGTCATCCTGGTCCATAGAAGAAATAAAGTATGCATCCAGTTTGACAAGTAAGCTGAAGGGCAGGCTACAGAACTTAGGCATTGTTAAAAGCAGTATGATTTGCAATGACATGCTTCTTGTAAGGCAAAAGGAGGTAGAAAGTAACCCTTAAGAAAAAAAAAAAAGTTTATCTTCAGTTCTGTAAATTAACTTCATTGGACACTGAAGTTGCAATGAAATTCCCAGACATACTAAATATCCCAGAGAACACACCAATCAGCCTGCTGAGCAACCTGAGAGAGACTAAGTCCTACCAGCAGGACACATATTTTCACCAGCAGAGAATGTGACAGACCAAATTCTTATATAGTTTACAATTAAATACTTGTGATCTGGTGTGACCATTGTACTGGCCTCACTAACTGAGAGCTGACCTGGATTAAGCGAGACCTTTTGAGATCATTTGGTCCGACCTTCTGTTGAAAACAAGTTCTTCCAATTTATTATTGATTCTTGCTAGAGCCTGTCAAAGAACATCTCAAACATTTCCAGCAAAGAAGCCTCTGCCATTTCTTATGGGTGAAACTCACAGTGGTGAGTTTTGTTCTCCTCTGGAATGGAATTTCCTCTGGAGAAGCTAATGTCCACTGGTTCTCATCCTGCCACCTGCAATCTTGTAAAGAATATATCCCAGATTTCCCTCTAACACCATCCAGATATCAGAAGAATGTTATTAGATACTATCTGAGCCTTCTTTCCATTAAAACATTTATTTTCTCACATTTTCTTAACCTTTAAACAAAGGTTATATCCTGTTTTCAATCTCTGTCTTGAACTGCAGGAAACAAATCTGGACACACTAGTGTAGTGATTACTGAGCATAGTGGATTCAAGGTGATGACATTACCAGATCCCAGCCTGTACTGGTGCTGGGGATTACTTCGATCCAGATAGAGAATTTTATATGCATCTCCTGTAAATCTCATTCAGCCTGCCACTTCCTCTCTGAGTGGTTGCTTAAGTACCCACCTCTCCATCCATTTCAGTGCCGATTTCAAGTTTGTTGAAGGTAGATTCAGTTCCATGATGTACATTGTTTATAAATACATTTACAGTGTTGGCCATACTACCAACTTCTTGGGAACTCCACATTACAACCAGTCTGACTTGGAGTCATTACCCCCACTGTTTGAACTGCAGCTGCTTTTAGCCCTATCTTGTGTTTAATCTCTCCAGTTTCTCACTTTTTCAATAAAAAAATTTGAGGTAGACTCTGAAAAACACCTTGCTAAAATAAAAGGTAGACGACCCTCATCCTTTATTCTTGGATTTCTGCTTGCCACTAATTTACAAATTTCTTGACATCTTCTGCCATTTGGAGCACTAGGCTTGCTTTTGCTTCCCCAAGAGAACCTCTGCATGTCCAAGAAGTACCTATGTATTTCTTTCTGGAAATTGTTCTGCTCCCTACTTGAGTTCTCTCAGTAGCACATTTAAATAAGACTGTTTAAAAACATTTAAGTGCTTGTTTTTATGTCTATTCCTATTCCCACTTAGGAGAATGGACTACTCTTGTACTGCAGGAAGGCTGTCTCTGAAAATATCTCAATATTCTTCCAAGCAGCAACTTTATTCTCCAAGGAAGTCTCCCACAGGATCTTTATGAGGAGTTCCCTGGTCAAGATGAGCAATAGGTACATGCCAAATTAATTCATTACGTGATAGGAAGATACCAAAAGACAAAATATTGTACTTGAATTCATAAAATTCCAAGGAAAGAGTAAATATTTGTCCACATTTAAGTCCCAAGCACTACATTTTTTATAAATCAAATTGCAATCAAATCCCAATGAGAGAGAAGTCACCTTAAAAAAAGCATGCCAAAGGTCTCTAAATTTTAAATGAAAAAAATATGCACAAAAATATAACTTGATCTGGATGTCCTCTCTTTGTAAGCTATTCATCTTCAGTCAGATCACTTTAGATCAGTAAGAAATGTCAGTACAAAATAATAAATCTAAGCAATTGTTTGAGTGACAGCCAAGCAGTCACACATTACTTTTAGACATAATAGGATATTAATCATTTAAAGCATGTTAACATTAATAAGCTATTTTTTAATAAATTGAATTAAATTAAAAGAGAAACATGGTGAAGAAAAAAAAAATATTTTCTTACTCTCCCCAAAGGGAGAGTTTTCTTTTACAAAAATTCAGAAAGAAACCTTTGTCTTCTTCAAATGATAAAGCTTTTCATCAGGACACAATATACAAAGGCAGAACTTCTGTTAAACAGTGCTCTCTTGTGGTTCTGTGCATCAGTGAAAGACTAAATCATTGTATAAAGATAAAGGTAGTCACAGTCTGAAATTTCTTGCCAAGTCTAACTCAAAATGAATCCCTCAGACCTGGATTTCATTTGCTTCTGCATTTAATTTTTCTAGCATGTCAATAACCTCATATTTAAAGAACACCTATAGATACTGTATTCAAAGCAAAGTATGAAATAAATTTAAATATATATAAAACAAAAATTTTGACCTTGATCTTTAACTGGAATTCACAGTTGACAATATGTACAATACCAGGAGAGCAGTTAATGCATCAATTCTCAGAAATTCTATTGGCAGAATTTCTGTATCTCATGGGACATAAAGTTTACTCAAATATGTAGCCCAGACCTCGCAGCTTCAATAAAATATAGCCCAATTTTAAAAATAAAAGTCTTACACTGACTTGCTGGGAACAATGTTTAGACTGCTCCACATGTCCATTTTTTTCTACAATACAGTGTAAAGAACAAACTACTCGTTATCCCGTGTAACTAAAACATTTAAAATTAACAGGAATAATTAACCCAAATTACTAGTTATAATAAAGTGATACCACCTTCTCATATTTAAATATATGAAGTATTCATCAAAAAGAACAAAAGGGTGCTTACAAGACCAATTTATATGAGAAGTTGGTTTTACCTTTTCAAAATACAGCAACTACTTTGGTTATAAAGTTTAAAAGGAATGCATCATTCAATTTCTATAGTTATTTTCTAGCTAAATTTTTTTAAAGAAATTATTTTACTTTTATTTTCCATTTATTTCAAGCCTCATCATATATTAATAACAAGGTTATCAAGGTTATGGTGCCTGTACTTTTTAAGAGGAGTGAAGCAAATCTATTCTGACCTGTTCATTCCTATCAAAGCTGTTGGATTTCACAATATCAGATGTAGGTCTGGCTTGGGCTCGTGCGAGTTCCTGGGGAGCACTCTGAGAGTTCGGCATGGGTGGCAAAGGAGCTCTCCGTTTCTTTGGCATCTCAGCTGGCAGAGTGTTTGAGTCATACTGCTTGCTGACAGTGTTAGATCTCGTGATAAATGTTGGCCTTGGCTTGCTCATCAATGGAGTTGCTGGGGCACTGGCAGCCTTGAGGTGTGGGAAATAAAAAGAAACCCAAGTTGCATATATTTTGCGGGAAATAATCAACAGTATTAATTGACCAATCTCAATATGTTTCTACAAGTTTTCCTTATACAAAGTTACACCTTACTTGTTCTCTTTTCTTCTTGTTCCGTTGAAAAAAGCTGAAAAATCCTTTGTTTTCTTTCTCCTTCAGAACATCTATGTTTTCAGATTGGTAGGAGCCTGAAACAGAGAACAATAGTTCTAGATGTTATTTCATACAGAGATTATTTGTCTGCATTCTTACTATTTCACCATGTGATAAACCTCCTGCAAAGATACACAAAACATATCAGAAATCACCTATATTAACATTTTTTCTAGGTGCTGCAAAATGAACAGTTTGCCTATCACCCATGTTCTTCCTCTCCTTCTCAGAACTCAGGGCAGATGAGTTTCAGCTGGTCTTAATACCAGCACTTAATCCAGCCCACCCCACTTGTCATATGCTATGGTTCATACCACAAAGGTAGTAAAAGGGGAAAAGAGCATCAGACTTCTCAGATCTCCATTCCTAATGGCTTACATTTATGACAAAGTGTGAAGTGGGACAAGCCAGACCCCAGCCTGCACACGGTGTAACTATGGAGAAAGATCACCCAAACACTCAATCAAGTGCACACATAACTGCATGGCAGTCGTAGTGAAGATAGTCAAATCTAGTCTCATTATCTTGCAGTATTTATCCTCCTTAAATTGCTTTATTCATGCAGAGGATTTGTAAATCTCATGACTGACTTTTTTTTAAATTTACTAGCGTGAACTTTCTTAAAGAAATCCCATTGAATGTACATGTAATGAGCAACAGAAATCAGCAAGTCTTGTAAAAGTATCAATATGACCCTATACTGAATAAATTAATCTAGGGTAAAACTATACAAAAATACTTTTTATATACCTCTGTATATCAAATTTTGCACTATCATTTGCAATATGCATTTAAGATAGGACAGAGATATTACTCATATCACAGTTAAGCAGATGCTAAAATAGGAGCAGGTGCTAATGGCCTCTAAGTGCTAAGTTTCACTGCCTATTTCAGTAAATCATACCTTGAAAAGATGGTAAATTTAAATCAACTGGTGATGCAGCTACAGAAAGACAAAAAGAAAGACAGAAAATGTGAATCTGAATCGAGGATGTAGTGACAACATACAAACACAAGAAGCCAAGCTGGATCTTCAATATCAGGGAAAATTAACTGGGTTCTTTGCAGAAGTAAAAGAATGGACATCTTTACCACCTAGTATTTAAATTATTCAAGAACTTCAGCCTGAAGATATGCAACACAGACTGCATGTGTGTACGTAAGTAGGGAGGCTCCGTTCAAATTTCTGAAGCAATGAGAAAAATCAGTATGTAGAATAGTTTGCTCTGGTTTGGATGGTTAGGCAGTCCAAACTTGGAAAACAAAAAGAAATGTATAATTAAAATATAATATTAATAAAATAAAATTGGAATTCGAATTCTATTAAGTGAAAGATACACCTTACCATTTACTTTCATAAAGATAATGGAAAATTCACAGCTTTGAACCTTCCTGTAAAATTGAAATGCTGAACTACTTCATATTAAGAGAACTGAAAAATATCTGAATTTCCTAGTAGGGCACTGCTGTGTAGAAAGCATATATGCCCTGGTATGCCCTCCTAAGGATTTTTGGGTGTTGCTTCAAGTGAAACATACATCATATCATGCAAAAAGCAACTTTTCCAATGTGTAGATGAAAGCAGTAAATAACCAGACCAAAAAACAAATAATGTGCTTGGGAGCACACGTAGTCAAAGTAACATGTTTAGACAAGTTAAAATATGTTGGTTTCCAGTGTGGAAAAGTATTTAATTTTTGTTTTCTCTATAGAAAAGTGAAATATTGTCCAAATCTGTCATTCTGACCTTTAGCAAGTAAATTGAGAGAACTCTTGAAACTGTAACCACCAAACAGTCCATATTTAAGTAGAAAGAGGGGCAAAGACAAACAAAGCCCCAACAAGCCCCACAAGTTTTACGTAGAAATTAAATCAAGCAAATAAAACAGTGGTCAGTACCAGGAGCAAGTCAATCAATATTATTGCTTTCTACACTGAGGTAAAATTTCCTGCGAGAAATGTCTGAAATGGAACAAGCCACACTGTACAGATTTTTTAATTACAGTATAGTAAACCTGTCACCTCTCCAGATGAAGTTAGAATATGGCCTAGAAATATCTGTACAAATATTAGAAAGTTAGTACATTGTGTCCCTATTGGACTGGAATTAAAAAGATAATTACTATACCTTCACAATCTATAAAATTACCAAGCAGTACTCAGAAATATACATAAAGACCATTAAAATACTCTAATGCTTTGAAAATTTTTAATTGTTTTGAAGAAACTAATTTTCTCTAACATTTCTATTCTTTTCTGGTCATTATGATATCATGTAGGAGCCAAGGGGAATAGGGTGTTGTTGAAATTTTTGAGGAAGGTGTGAGGGTAGAAAACAAAGAAGGCTTTATGTTTAAGTGAGGATCTGTACTCAGCTAACTCTGCTGGTAGCGAACACTTGGTTAGAAAAATAAAACTCTTGTACAACACTTCCATAAACAAAAGTCCAGGTACAAACGAGTCAGTTTCAGTTTTGCAAAGACCAATGAGATACAGATTTCTAGAAAATATTTTCATAAATAAAAAACCAAACAACATGCATACAATTATTATCTTTTATATAACAGCAATTTACAAAAGTTATCTTACCTTGACTGATGTCCATGGCATATAGTTCTCGTAGTCCGAGCTCATTAAGAGATTTTGTCATATCAAGGGGTTCTTGCGACTGGTAACTCTTCAGTAGCAGTGTTTGTGAAGGATCAAACTCACATTTGCTACAGATAATTGGTACGAGTTCTTGAAGGGGTGAATGTGGACTAACTCTTACTACTGTTTTCTGTGTCTTCTTGTAGTTTATCACTACCCTTACTGTTTGCTAAAGAGAAGAAAATGCCAATAAATACCAGCACCAATTCTGAAAGAAATGGCATCTTTACAACAGCCTCACAGTAATCACCAGAATTCCACTTATGGCCAACTTGACCAGTGCTGCAGGTTCAGAAATATTACATAAGAAACTAAGAACTATTTTGCTACTCCCTCCCACTCAAGAAAAGGACCCGTGAAGCCGACTGCTTTCTCCTTCAGCAGTGCCATTTGCTTGTGCAGCAGGGTGTGTGCCTGGAGGGTTGTCCTGGGCAGCTGTGGAGCTCAGGTGATGAGCCACAAGCCACTGCCTGTGAACACGTGTGTAGGAGGGAAGCAGAAGGGCAGAAGAGCTCTCCTGGCCCTCTGTAAGTGCTTTAGGTAAATTAAAAGTCAGTATTCTTCTACATAGCAGAACGACAAAGGTGGAAGCAAAGATTTAGGCAACATCCAGAAAATGGTTTAGTACTTCTTAAAGCTCCTCCCTCTTCAGGGTATATAAGAAAAGCTGAGAGAGAACAGTATGTATTGAAGGGAGATGAACATACAATCAGAAGGGTACATATATCACAGCACGACAGATGGTACAAGATGTTGATTCTCAGTTTGTTCAAGGCTGTACTCAGCCACACTTCATCTGCAGAATTTTTCAAAATGCCGATAAAGCATGGGATTTCAAATAATATTGTGATATTTCCTTCTTTCAGCAGCAAAGATGTTTGCTGCAACAAATTGAGATGCCTTTTACCTAAGAGAAGCTTATCAGAAACAGACTAAAGCATTTCACAGAGCTTCTATGGTGAGAAGATGAAAGACAACAGGAAACACTGAAACGAGAGGATGAGCTGAATTTGTTGAATACAGCAGTAATTCTAATTTCTCAATATGCTTAATTTTAGTTCTCACCTCTGGTATAACTGGAGCAGGTTTCTTCTTATCCATTTGTTTCGCCTTTACAATCACCTTTTCTACTTCAAGCATTCCCACTGGTGTGTTGGGTTTGAATTTAATCTGGCTATTTTCTGCTGATACCAACTCTATGGTATAACTTGATGGATTTAAATGATACTGTGCACAGAGAAAGATCAGCAAGTCCATCATGGGCTTCCTGTAAAAGACAAATGGAACTGTCACAACAGATGACAATTAAGCAGGCTATAACAAGACATGCTGCTAAACATTTAATTTAAGTCGTCCTTTCCCTTCTAGGACTAAATAACTACTGCTAGACAGCAACTTTAAATATCTTTGAGCTTTAAAAAACATAATTAAAAAAAAAGCCAACCCTCAAAAAAAGCCACTAAAAAGAGAATGAAAACAGTTTGTGCAAAATCATGCCAAATACTTGAACAGAGTGGGAACTCCTTGTTGTGTGAAGCTTTTCCTGAGGTCAACAGGCACATGTGGATTAGTTACCTCATTTGACATTTAGCAGGAACTTTAACAGTGGTGCTAAATACTCTGTTACTCATTAAGAACCGTTCTTTTGCAAAGTTTGGCATTTTTATTTCCATTTTGAGTTACAAGGGACTTTATTTTCAGGAGGCCTGTACATGAGCCACTTGGAAGATGCAGGAGAAATGAAGTTTGAGAAAGTCACATTTTAAGCAGGTCTTGCATTAGGGATTCCAGAATTATCTAGGTGCTTAATACTAACAGTGAAAAATAAGCTAAATGACAATATAGTAGCAAATGCCATTTCTTGAGAAGTTCTGTGTGATAAGATGTCCTTCCCACAATGAAGAATGGCCAACAGAATTTGTCAGAAGTAGTCAATACCTGTATGTCCTTGTGCCCTCAGTGGTTAATGAAGAACATGCAAAACAGAATATTAAGATAGGCTGAGTATTTCCAGTTTCTACTGAAATACATTTAATAAAGTCATACTATAAATAGAAATGCTATAGATGTTTAAATAGACCAAAAGTAAGGAGAATGTCCTAACTTTGCATGTTATGGAACTGAATCAGGTTATAGCACTATCAGATCATTCCTCAATAATTATTCTTGAGTTGGGTAAGGACAATTTCATTGTGACACCCTCTGAATCTTTCAGTTACAGCTATGAACAAGGAAATCCGTCACCTGCTCTGTCTCACAAGGATATTGTGAAAATAAAAGTCTGTGAAGCAATCAAATGGTATGTTGAAAAAAATGCTGAAGTGTCTCTGAGAAAATTAATAGAGGGTTTGGCTGGTATGGCTTTATCTATATGGAAATCTTAAATTATAGATGTAATCTCATAACAGAGTCAAGCATTCTGGTAGCACAGCCAAATGCGGAATTTAAGATTTCCGATAAAGCCATACCAGCCAAACCCTGTATTAATACATACCATTTGATTGCTTCCAGTGTGTGAAAAAGCAGTTACCACATGGTCTGAAGAGGTATAGGAGAATATAAAACACTCATGCTTTCATCTAGATATGTAACAACCTGAAGAATACCATGAGAAATGCAGAATAATAACTGCTCCTCCCTCTTCACATTGCTAAACCAGAAAGTTTATTTCAATACATCATCTCCTGTAAATATATAGCACAGCCTGGTTCATTTACAAGACAGAGGATGGAATACTTAATTTCTTGTACTTCTAATCCCTAATAAAACAAGTACATCCATCCCACCGTAAGAAGAAAAGGGCTGCAAATGCAAATCTCATCATTCCCCCATCTCACCAGGGGCAGAGCAGGGCAGGACCAGGGAGGAGGATGCCAGAGGAGGCTGCAAACCCCACTTCTGTAGTGACCCTTCTGGTTACCAGTTTATCCAATAAGTTACTCATTACCTTTTTTCTGGTGAATTTTTATACAGTGACTGTCTTTAAAAGCTGCCCTTCAGTTACTGGAGAGGAGTAAGAATATCAAAGATGACCAGAGCAAGAACTGGTCATAGCAAGGATCCCAGAAAGCCATCCTATAGAAATGCACCACAGCGACAGGGGCACACCCTCATGTTAATCAGTCACACTGAGTGACTGACAAGTGAGAATGCTAAGTGAGAAACAGCTGCTCACAAACAACAGGCACATGCAAATTAGTACACCAGAACAGTGATTCAGTGCAAATCTGCTTTCCAACGGTGCTTCCAGAAACAAACTTCTTGACAGGAGGACGAGGGACTTTTAAGACCCCACTGAAGGCAAGATATCTTCTTCAACAACTGCTTTAGAAAGATATTCCTTCAGTGATGAAAAATAAATCCAAACAAGCTTTTCTTGTAACCACAAGAAAAAGTCCAAAACTTGTAACTCTTTTTTTCCTAAAGCCTTCAAGAATTATAGGTAGAATAATACATATATCACAGTACATTTAACAGCTTCCCTAATTAATATTTAGCAAAGCACCAAGAAGAGGCCGTCAGCTACCTCAGAGTACATCATCTGCTTGTCCTCCTTTATCTAACTTCAGTAAAATATTTATCTGCAACTTAACTTCATCAAATTACTCCAGGTTTTCTGGAAATTTCTGAGTGTAAATGTACTTCGACATATTCTGACTTCTGCATAATGAGGATTTTTATATCACTAACACCTTGCTTTGTGCTACATAGCTCTTGCTACCCACTATGCCAAAGCAGGGAGCAAACCAACCCAACTTAATCTGAAAAAGAAAAGTTTCTTCTAGTGGACTATGGAATTTGAGCATACAGCTGTTAAAACTCACCATTTATCTTTTTCTACTATGAGATTTAAAAAGTGTTCTCTCCTTGGGACCTTCAGAGCTGCTCACCTCCAGTTATGAATGAGGAAAGAAACAAAGTAACAATTTGTCTGTTTATGTCATTTCTAGAGGGATCACTTTGCTCACAAGATATGACTATAAAGACAGAGCAAAGCTAGAACCAAAGGTAGTTTGAAATCTATTTGAAGTGGACTGCAGGTCCTGCACATCTCGCCTCAGTCTGAGATGAGCAGTGCTAACACTTGTTCTTATTTGCAAGACACTCACTTATGAAATCAATCACATATAGCATCTTGATTGAAAAATCCTGTAGATTAACTGTGGGATAATAGAACTGGTTGGGAAACAAGTGAAATTCCTGATAAGCCTGTAAGGCCTATCTTGAAAACGGAGTTCTTATAACCGAGTAATTATACACAATGTAATCTGACCAAGTGAAAATAGATGCAACGTTCCTCTCTTGCACTTTGTTCTGAGCAAAGCATGAGAGAGGGCTCATGGTACTCATCAGTGTGGAAAAAGGGAGCAAAAAGAACAAGAAGCTCTTGACAGCGTACACATGGAGCCTTCATGCCTAAGAAGGTGTAAAAACACAGGAAGGCATCATATTTACAAACTGCAATATTCCTTGCTTTAAATGTGCTGAAAAAACCAGCATAAAGCATCAAGTACTTACATTATTTCAGAAAATTTCTTCTGAGAAATAATATCTCACATTTATGTTATCCTGAAAATCAGAGTAGGGGTAGGTGTAAAAAGAACCACTGCAGCTCTGGTGAACAAGCTGATATTTGATGTCTAAGCAACAACCTCATGAACTCCAGCAAATGACAGTGTGCAAACAGACTCAAGCCAGATTTCATCTCTCACTGAGAAGGAGGTATAAGCACACATTTATAGTACCTGGTTTGAATGAATAAATAAGTCAGCCTGCTTGGTTTCAGTAGGAGAGACATGGGCTATACAATAACACAATGACAATATATAAATAGGTTGTCTTATTTCAGCTTAGGATAGCAACTAACCGGCATCCAAGTTGCTGTGATCAATACACAGCCTCGCACAGGACTCTTCATAGCAGACTTACATTTTAGGTCCCAGGATTTATGATTTCAGCTCACCAGTAAATGTTCAGGTCTTTCTGAAGAAAAGGTGACTTGAGAGTTACATGTGCAATCTATCCTACCAATTAACAGTCTGAAATATGCATTTCAAACTAAAACATAATTGTTAAAAGAAATCCAAAGCTGTAGCTATAATTTTTTTTTTGAAGCATTACAGATTTTGGCTGAAGCAATGACATGTTTTTTGATGACTGCTGGTAGTCTACAGGTAGCAGTGCTGAGCAATGCTGAACACAACTTTGTAGCCAAATAGATTGAACAAACTCATCCTTAAAAAGCAAGAATTACGTGGGAAAATTCACTAAATCGTACAAACCGATATTATATAGAGATTTTGAGTGACTAGAAAAAACAACAGATGTGGCTACACATACTGACAGGTATCATACAGAATTTCTGAATCTTAAAAAAAACAGTCTTTCTGAAATGGTAGGTCAATGTATAAAGATTATGTTTCCATATCTACCCAAAAATCATAGATGAATCACAGAATCATTTAGGTTGAAAAAGACCTTTAAGATCATCAAGTCATTTACCAAACACTGCAAAGTCCACCACTAAACCATGTCCTTAAGTACCACATCTACACATCTTTTAAATACCTCCAGGGATGGCAACTAATTCACTTCCCTAGCCTGTTCCAATGCTTCCTTTCCATGAAGAAATTTTTCCTAATATCCAATCTAAAGCTCCCCTTAGGCCATTTCCTCTTGTCCTATCACTTGTTACTTCTGAGAACAGAAACCCCACCTGGCTACAACCTCCTTTCAGGTAGCTGCAGAGAGCCACAAGGTCCCTCCTGAGCCTTTTCTCCAGGCTACGCAGCCCCAGCTCCCTCGGTAACCCCAACCCTCCTAAGACCTGTGATCCTGACACCTCATTTTGCTCCTCTTCTTTGCACACGCTTTATGTTCAAGCTTACACAAATCATGCATTTTACCAAACGATTATAACTTGGATGAAGGTTGAAGTAAACTTGAGCAAAAAAAGGAAAATTAAACAAAAATGTCATTCTGTGTAACATACCTCCCGTTAACTGTAGTGTACTTGATCACATCTCCTGGCAGGACCACTGATAACTCAATATCTTTATCGATTACATTCTCTTTCTGTTCCATGATGAGGTTGGTTGGCTCTGTGTTATCAAACGGAGAAACAGCAATAGATTTTGTTTCAGGTGGAGGAGGTGGTGCTTTAGATTTTCTTCTGAAATAAACAGGTAAAAATTAAAAATCAAATATGCATTTACACATACGATTCCAAACTGGCAAACTAACAAGTCTCAAAAGAAAAACAAATGACACTTTATTCTTTCCTAAAGTAATATATGCAACAAAGGGATAAGAGAATATCTTAAATAGACTATCACTGGTGACAGAAGACAAAACACACTAAGGTATCCTTCACAAAAAAAAAAAAGAAAGCACCCAATAAACATCAAAGATTTCTTTAATGTACCATAAAGACTTAATTAGTTGATTGTTTTTTTCTCCCTTGGGTTATGCAAAGACCCTATTTGTGCATTCCCCAAAGAGATTTACTGGATTAGTATAAACAGAAATATTGTACTATGCAGTATGAAGCCAAAGGTACTACCAGTGTGCTTAATACAGGATAGATACTGGACCAAATAGTGACAGTTCTCCTCCTCAAATTTTTCCTTTAGTTTTTAAAATTATTCAAAGAAATCCTACCAGTTCTACAGTATTTACCTTCTATACAATAATAAACTAAAAGTATAACCAATTTTTACTGTGTTGTAATATTTCACTCACAATATGCTTTCATATATTCTCCTCAACCTATGCTGATCCCCGGTTTTAATTTTTTCTATACCCTTTCCCATGTCAGTGACCAGTTTACTCTTGAATACAAGGACTGACCACTAAATAAGCTGCACTTACTTCACTTTTAAAAATTAGAAAACAGCATAAACCCCTCTATATATCTTAATATATGTATGTTAGAGTAAATTCTGAATGCACGACTCTCATGTCCTACAACATCTAGTCCAATATGTCCCTTTATTTCAATAACTCCCCACATTAACCAATATATTCAGAAGGAAAATATACTATTATTACGAATTTTACCATTAGAAACAAAACCAAAACACAGTCAAGATGCATTACCTCATAAAAGCTTTTGAATTTCTTATAAACATTCTTGAATGGAGCGACATTACCAGAAAGTTAAAATACATTTCAATATAATACACAAAGGTTCCAAAAATATGCTCATCATTTAGATGGAGCTACACCAAAGTTTGTTTACTTTAAACCTAAGGAAAGAAATTAACCCCTATAACTGTCCTACAGAATTAAAACAAAAAAACCTAGCATATGACTAGAAACACACACCTCTCTTGAGAAAACAAAGTTTAAAGGCACTCACAATGAAGAACAAACAAGGTCCACAGCAGCACTGCAAAAAACAACTGTAACAAGGCTTCACATGACTGATCTGTTGCTGAAAGTGCTTAGAGTTTTGAACTTCAGAACTCTGCTGAATAATTAACTATTCACAGCCCCTCCGAGCTAATCAGGAGTACTCACAGGCCTCCAAAAACATTGAATGAGGATCCACATTCAAACTTTTTACCTCCTCTCTCAATGTTTTAAATTAATTTGGTGTGTTCTATACGATGTGCAACATGAGCTGAAAATTTGACTTTGGTCTCTAGAGCAGCTTGCCTGGGTTGTTTGAGGATAACATGAACATTGCAAAATGTGTAAATCAAACTTCTTTGTATTCCTCCCCAGCCTCTTTGGGGGTTTTCTTGCAAGGTTTTTAGTTTTCATATAACCAAATATAAATTATTAGCTAGTACAGAGCACCAGTAGAACTACTAGAAATGAATAAAATCCCGAAACCATAAAAACTTACCCTATAACATTAATACCAAAAACCCCAAAGTGAACTAGTACTGCTTGTCCTCCCTTCTTTGCTCTTTCATACATCTTTAACTTCAAATGACTGTTAAAAGCTATTTATCACAGAATTTAATCTTTGAAGTGTCACAGAAAAATTTCTTTTCAAATGCTAGTGGAGTCTATTTTCCACTAGGTAAACAAATGCAATTTTATCACTGGAACTCTACCACCACGAGAGTGCTTAACAACACACAAAAATAAATATGGTTTATTCATACAATGTCTAACTTAGAGAGCTAAAACTGACCAAATACTCTTATGAAAACACATTTGCAACAGTTGAAGTTCCACATATTTATGAAAAACACACACACACACACGGTCAGGCGTCTGACAAGGTCACTGAAGTCTTGTGTCCCTCACTGCAGCACCACCTACCCCACCCATCACTAGAAAATGTCAATGTGTTTATGGTTAGGTATGCTTACCTGTCCCACCCCACACAAAGGAGGAAAAATCCCAAGTGTACTTTCTCAGAAGTCATGCCAAGTTTTTGGCAACCTCTTATTAAACAACTGGGATCCCAATGCTTTCACTTTCTGTTTCCAGATGCCATGTTGTTTTTTTCTTCTTCAGTTCTCACTAATTCTCTCATCTCTCCTTTTCAGCTCAAAGCATTTGCATTTGGTCTCATGGTTTTTTCCTTATTTCAGCTTGTGTTCCTACCTTATTGGGGAGCAGCTGCCTGACAGGCAGGCTAGGCTGCGCTCCCAGCCCCAGAACTGGTACTGGGTAGCAGAAACAATTCAGGTGACCGTGATTACATAGACAGGTGATGGTGGAAATACACTTGCAGAGGTACCTTTTACAAAGCCTCCTCTCCTCACTCTGCAATTCAAGAAGCCAATGTAAGTGATTTGCTCACCAAGGTGTCCTCCACAAATCATTTTATCCCAACACCAAAAGTATCTCCAAGTCTATACCATCAACTCAAATACTTCTCCATCATAAAGAACCATCAAAAGTCTGTTTCTCTCTTGCCTCTTAACCTATACCAGGTACTCAGCAAACCAGGAGAGCTGCTCATTTGTAATGATTTTGCTAAAAAGACAGAGAAAGATGTTAAGTTAATTTCTTCTCCTAAAAAAACCCCCTGTTATTTTTAGTAAGGCAAAATACAATCATAACAAAGAGAGTAATTCCCCATCATATAAAAACAACACTTCAGAGGCCAGAAAAAAGGTGCTCAGTAAGTGGTCTTACTCATAGCACCTTTCATGTTCAGACAGCTTCCAGATGTACTAGAAGCTAAGCCAACCTGTTCTAATTTTCAAAATAAACAGTAGAAGAAGCTAGAACAACCAAAACTATGGACTTCATTTTCATGGCTACTGTAGAATTAGAGGAAAGTTGCAGGAAGAATCAAAGTGCAGCTTATTTAGCTATGAATTAGTTAATATAGAGGGAATTAGAAGAGAAATTTTAATCAAATGAGGTCACAACTCCATAACAATATGAACTCCTTTGGAAATTGTGTTCCAGTATCCTACAGGATGTGGGTCCTCACCCATTGCTTGTCCCTATGGGTCCCAGTCCCAACAACTGGCTAACCCTCCTAGCCCTGGACAAGGCTGTCAGAGGGACATCCACAATGCCTCACAGGGACCCACAAACCACCTGGTGGTGTTGCAGCCTGGGCAGAGTTTCTATTTCACTTGTTTGCCACACCACCTGGAGCCCACTGCTTTATGCCAAGGCACTCAGCTGGTTCTTATCTAGTGGAGATTATATTGTTTCCCAGAGAAATGATTCATATCTTTTAGAAATCTAAATTTCCGAAGTCCCACCTACAATTCCTGCCAGTCTGTGTGACAATGCAATTCCTGTATTAAAGAATTCTTTCAGCTAAAAGCAAATAGAAGACTACAATTTTTAAGACAAACAGTGCATCTTGAAATCAAATCCAAGACCACGAGGTCAACATTTTATGTGCTTCAGATCCCACCTCCACAGAATAAAATGTCATTGTTGGATTTCAATAACTTTCTTCCTTGCAAAGAAAAAAGTGTCAATGATCTCAATGGATAGAAGCCTTTTTAAAACAAAGGTCTGACACAGTAAATAAATAACGCATCTATTTATTTGATATTCAAAAAAACGCTGTTAGGAAGTTAGAAGCAGAATATTTTTAACTATCGGTAACTAGAGAAAAGCACTATAAAATAATGAGAAATACTTGAACTTACAGTGACCTGGCTATTCCAGTTTTCACCAGCATTTCCTTTCAATAAGAACCTCTTTCCCAAAAAAAGGAAAAAAAAAAAAAAAAGGAAATCTATCTGCTAGATTAGTGTACAATCAAAGGCTACAGCATCAAGGAATATTACTGTTTACAGCACTTAACTTCCTATTTGGAACACAATTACATGAGATTATACAAAGACAGCATGATAGCACTCTCACTGAAATTATTTTGAATCTAACCTGTAACATCAGAACATTTTCTCAAACTTTCTATAGCATTCATCTAGGACAGGAAAAGCCATAAGGCTCTCACTTGCAATTCAGTCATCTCTCAGATAGTGAAATAGTTCATTAAACAAAGTGCATTAAAAATCTAAGCACAACAGATACACTTCAGTTGGTTAATCTGACTTAAGGCACTACAAAGAACACTTGCTTATTCAAAAAGCAACTAGCTGGTTTTCTTAAATCAAACTTTACAAAATTGTATTTTCCAAAATTACAAGCAGCACTTTGTTTTATTTTCACTCAGAGTCAGAAAAGGATTTAAGATCATGTCATGATATGATCTACTAAGATCATATCATGACAGGAAAAAGTCCACTGTAATGAAGCTTCTTCCAGAGATTTTCTTGTCTTCAACCTCTCCTCCAAAGCAATTATTATAATGCTCTCCTGACTATTACAATAATGCTGTTTCACTGCCATGTCATAGAAGCAGACAGCCAAACACTCACACATAATCTTCTCTAACAAGGAACAGTTGAACAAGAATTCAGGCCTATATTAAAAACATTGATTTGGTTTTTGTAACAATGATACATCAATTTTGGTCAACAGGTATACAAAATATTTAGGCTCCTAGTTACACCTATAAGCATCCCCAGCCCAATACTCATCTTTAACGCTCACAGAACAAATCTGTCTTCTAGACTGACTTTATTCTGTTCCCTTTTTGTGGATAATGGTTTCACAGCATCACCACTGCAAGTCTTCAAGATCAAACACTACTTGCTAGGAAAAAGCTTGGAGACAACTGCAGCATTACTAACTGATCTGCTCCTCATAGTCCAGCACGTGACTGCAGCTGTCAAGGCAGGTCACTCAAAAAATCACTCCTATATATTTCAGGCCTAAGTATAGATGAAAAAATACTTTAAAAATAAATTCTATCCATCTTCACTAAATTATTACCAGGCACACAGTTTTCTATACAAAATTTGGAGTGCCACTAAGTCCTTCAAAAAAGGTTACTTTTAAGTTAGACATATGGTAGTATTCTAAAATTTTTCCTTATTGTTAAGCAGCCCAAATATTTGCTGTGCCAGCCCCAGAGCATCAATGTAACATGACTATCAGCCTTGATACTGGGCTTTCATCTCAACATCAATATCACTGTTTGATATACAATCTCTCTCTTTATTTCTACTATAAAAGCACCAGCTAGATGTTAAGATCAAGGTACGGATCAATGAGAGTCAAACAATGTCCATTCTTAGGTTATCCCTTCAAGCCAGGCTTATGATACATGTAGGACAATATAAAGGAAAAATACTTGCTGTATCTGTTCCAGAGAGAAATATGATCTTTCAGATTCTAAACTCATCCATTTAGTTATCTGGGGAAAAATGGGAGGTCATATTGTACAGATATTGAGTCTAGCAGGTGGCTCAATAGGTACCAAGAAAAAGAACCAACTTCAGAAACACACTTTAATTTAGATTTCCAGGGAGAGGAGTAGTCTGTTAATCTTTTGTGATAACAGGTGATTTTACAGGGCACTTCTATGTACAATTCCCAAGACTGAAAGGATACAAATATTTTAAATGACACTGGTATTTTAAAAATAACAGAGAAAAATAACATGGCATAAAATAAGGCACTGGGTATATATCTCTGCCAACACAGTAACTCATAGTGCAACTGATATATCAACTGACATGGCAGTAATAATGCTATGCGTGATAATATTGCTAATTAGGTGATCTTTGAAGATTATCTCTATGGATTTAGTCAGTGAGGTTCCAACAAACAACAAATCATCTGCAGATGTTCTCTTACTCATGCATTTATTCTGCTATAAAGAAAGCAAAAAAGACGTAAAATTGATTTCCACTCTCAATAAATAAAGTGGATCAAGAAAAGGAGGCATCCATGGAATCAGGACATGTTTTCAAAGATCTTGTGAGAGAAAAAGTTTCTCTAGTCAATGGGATGTGTGGATTTACCCCCTAGCTAGCCTCACTGCTCAGAAGATTTTTTTTAAGTCTTATCCGAGAGAGAAATCAATCACAGAACTGGGACAGTAACCATGACAGTAAGGTGAAAGCTCAATGGAATCTCTGGATGTCTGGTTCACACTAAAAGCAAGAAAGCAGAAAATGAATCCTTCAGTTCCCTCCAGACCATTTGGAACAGACATTTGCCCCCTCTGATTATCTGTCCCCATGGCAGTGACAGCCTTGGAAACAGAAGCGACTGTATTTGAGCCATAATTCATTAAATGTTTTCTGTCATTACAAGGAAAAAGAAGCGTCTCTGAGACAACATAAGCACAAATGGGTATTATGGGCATGTTTTTAATTTTGCCCCTCTTAGCATTAAAGGGGAACTAACTCTGGTATAAACATATAATTTAATTAATTGAAGTACAAATTTAAAACTTTTCTAGAAAAAAAATATTAATTCATTGCCCTTCAAAGCCAAATCATAACTAATAGTACAATGATCTATTCAAGCTCACTTACAACATATGAAAGATCCAACTCCTGAGAACAGAAAGCTGCTGACTTAGTGCTGTCTTGTACCATCCAACAAAACACAGTTAGCTCCCCTCTAGGCTTAAGAATCTCTTTGCTCTTTGGAAGAGAGCCAAAAGCTCATAATTCTAGCAGGCAAGAGAGGATACAAAAAAAGGAAAAATACTTTCTCCTCTGAATTAGCATAAAGTTGTTTATTATTATTATTATTATTGAGGGATTATAGAAATGTGTTCTGATACAAAAGTTTTGTTACAACAAATTCTGTTGTGCCAAGAGAAGTGCTTCTTTTTCTCCCGGGAAAAAAAAAAAACAAAAACAAAAACCCTAACAAACAAATTATGTGGAAAATTAGTTCCAATGACATTACTTCTAAAGAGGTTGAGAACTTAGACTTCTGAAGCAAATAGGGCTAACACAAAATACAAATACAATATTGGCACGTCTATGTGTGACACACCGCTGCAGAAAGCAGATACTTATCTGGTTTTGCAACTTTTTCTCAAAGTAAAAAATGCAAAAAAGTAACCTAGATTTGCTACCGAAAGAAAGAAGAAAAATTCTGAATGGCATTCAAAACAAGTGAAACCTTGTACGGCTTAGTTAGCCTTTATTATATTTACAGTTACAAAAACAGCCTGACAGAAAACAAGGAGAGCAGAGAAGAGAAAGCAGTAAATCTGTAACAGTAATTGAGTAATAAATAACTGGCTGAATAAACAGGAAAGGAACACAAAGAGCAGCTTGATCTGAAAGGGGGAGCTTAACCTTTGATACACTAATAAATCTAACAAATACTTAAAACTCAAGCAAATGTAAAAATAAACTAAAATAAACCCTCAAATCTTTATCAAGAACTGCTAAAAAGGTTGCTCATACAGCTGAGGTTTTTTTCCATGACTAGTAAGAAAGTTCAATTAAGAGCTCTCAAATAGAACAAAACCTGAATTTGTCCTTCTGGTTGTTACCCCCAGTCATGAAAGCATGGATAATGCCACTGTCTTTTCAAAGCCTGCAGATGAAGCACCTAGCTCTGCTCCTCACTTTTCCAGCTGCTATTCTGAACATCAATAGAAGTAAAAATTGTCAGTTATCTGAGCTTTGCTGCTGCTGCTGCTTTTTTCTCCTGTTCAAAATCATGTTTTAGAAGTAACACTGGAGGCAGTGACTGGACAGATAGAGGCTGGGAAAGGTAAGGAAAAGAAAAGCAGAGGCGCTCAGTATCACAGCAGCCAGGAAAGAGGCTAATACAGACCCTTCCCTTTTCCCTCAGACATACATGCCTCAAATATCGGTACGTGGGTGTAGATGTAGGTGGGTAACAGTTCAATGCTGCAGGACAGCAGCTAAGAAGCTCTACACTAACAGGAAAGACAAAATCCAACCCCTCTCCTTCTACCTGCTGTGGAAGGCTGGGTTCAACTACAACAGTAGCACTTCCCAGCTGAAAATTCAGATACAGCAAGAATAACTGAGAAAGCATAGCAACGCAACTTTAGAAAGCACTGCATTTTCATTTTTCCTGCAGGTGTTTTGAATAGAACAAGCTTTCTCCCTTTTAGAAAGTTCTTCATTCTCCAGAAACTCTCTCTTAGCAGTTATATCTTTTATCTACCTGGAGTTTCATAACACTTAAAATCTTTGGTACAATCACATAACCCAGAAGTAGAAGAATTTATTAAACTGAAGAACAGAGATGACTTTAAGTATTGGGAGGGAATGGGATGCAGCAAGAGTTTCTTATGCCGAGCAAGATTAAATATAAATATCTCTGTGTGTATATCTGTATGCATTTATACACAGATGCTATGAGACACATGATGAATGTATAGAGTTCCTACACACACAAGCAGGTCAGCAAATAAGGCATCGTTGCTCATTACAGGAAAGAGGAAAAAAAAGAGTTGTTTAGGCTATGAAATTTTACTAAAACAAGCATTTTATTTACTAGATTTCAAGAGAAGCATCTTGGCACTTAGTATCCAGAAAAGCCTGATGTAATAAAGAGTTTTCTCCCAACGTATGAGGACGGTAGCTATAGTTCCCCAAGCAGAAACACCGCGCATCTCGGGCTAACACTGCTTGTAATGCTAACAAATGCCTTGAGTACCCACCTGCCACCAGATTCTCCTGCTCATCCTTTACAGCTGCCTCCTCAGCATTCACTCTCCTACCTGCATTTTCCTCAGAAAGCAGAGTGGAAAAACCTTTTACCTCCAGGAACAGGGTCACATTTAGTACCTCCTCAAATGCCAGTGCTGCTGCTGAAGCCCCCGCCTCATCTCAGGCACTAGGCACTCTGTGAGGGGCAGTGGGAACTACGAAGCAGAGCCACAAATCCCATCCCAGCTCCCTGCACAGCACAAACCCAACCAGCAGTTTTCATGGCCACCTTTACAGCCACTGACATCAGGAGCTCCCTCCCCTTTGTCCTACTTTAACTTTACCTCCCTCATTGGCTGGCAGCTCAGGGCCCCAAATGAATGCTCTTATTTTTTTCTTCAAACTCATCCCCATCTGCACACAAGGGCTGTCATTATCCCCTTTCTCTGCTTATATCTGCACGCTCAAAACCCACTGGATCCACTCTTACTGGATTCTTGCAACAAGCAAGAGGCAAGGAAGAAAGAAGATATTTCTTTGAAGAAAGCTGGCTCCCCTCATGATGGTAACACCAAAGCTATTTTGGATGACCAGCTACTTCTATTTGAAAGCCTCTGCACTTTCCATAAAAAGGTACAGGGCTTCAGCATTAAATATAAAAGAGAAAAAAAAAATCTTATTTATATAATAATTATTATAATCATCAGCAGTCTGCTCTGTTTCTGTAAATAAAGAAACTTTCCTAATGAATGCTCTGCTCTAACTACTGTACTTCACTTCTACATTTACCCTTGCATTCTTTTCAACTTTCTCTACCACAGCCAGTTTATAGCAATATACTACACCACTGAGTTTTTAACATGGTAACAGATGATACAGTGCCAGCAGCCTACTGACATCTACAAGAAGTTCAACTGAACACTGTTTCTTAAATTCTTTCTTTGTTGCTGTAAGCAAAGTCCATCTTGGCACTGTGCAGTTATTTAGGAATTTAGTCTGTTTAGGTATTACAAAATATTTTAATGCTTTCCATGACAAATGAAACCAGTATACAACACATAGAATACATAGCAAGGACTCTACCATATTAGACACTAAAAGAATCAACTTTTACAAGGTACTACAAGCAATAGTGGGGCTTTTTTCCCCAAAAAAAAATTAAATCAAAATCTGATGAACGCTAATCAAAGAAATCAGAAAAGCTCTACTGTTTGCATGAAATAACATTCCTCATTTAAAACAATCTCAAAAACCTCATTTGAGCTTCTAAGCACCAAATATCAACTTAAAATAAAACAGGCAACAGCTTCTATACCCAGAAAGGTACCACAGAAATTTCAGCAGTCTGTCCACATGGATAAACATTTTTACACACCCTCATCTCTTAGCCAGAGGTAGGATTGTAAAAACCTTTTGGAGAACTATTGCATACTTTGTCTGAAAAAGGAAAAGAGACATTAATTCCTCTTTCTTCATACCGGCCTATATTTAAGTTCTGGTAATTTATGTACTGCCCTACACCTGAATTCTGTGTTCTCTCCAAGAGGCAAGGATTTATATGCTCCTGTAGGTATATAATTATTGGTAAATATTTTTTCCTCACAACAAGTGTTAGGACAGCACAACACAAATATTACTTTGAAGCCATTCTGCTCAGCCACTAAACAAGGAGAAGGAAGAATAATAGCTAAAATTGATTACACTGCTTTTCTGCTTACCTCCAAGATAGCACAGGTGGTTCTTCTCCATTAATATGAGGTGAGTTTCCTTCAATAGCATATGGAGGTAGAAGGGAGGGTGTGTGTGTGTGCATGGCAAGCTCACTGTTGCTCCCTTCTGCTACTGCTGACATCAGTAAGCCTACCTATTTATAATCCCACCACCTGACCAAACAGCCTACAGAGTACATCTAGAGATTTGTACAGCCTGTAATCCTGACATATCTACTTCAGCCAATTCAAAAGAGAGTATTAAGTAGCTTTGTTATGTCTTCTGTGGCTTTATACCATAAAAAGAATCCAATCCTGTTTTCCGCACCCCTTTATATTTGCACAAAACAAGTTTAATGGGAGTTCTTAGAATTAGGACTAGTCCCTCCATCCATGCTTTTTAGCCTTCCTCTTCCTGTGAGATAGCCAACTAAGCACCTCAGGTGAGCATATTCTCGGGATTAATGGAATATTTAGACAACAGAGGCAAATACCCATTTACATCCAGTTAATTTGATCATCAGTACTACCTACAAAACTATTGAAAATTAATATTTTTCCAAATCAATTTCACAAGCCAAGTACAATATTTACGCTATCACAAAACCAAAAACAACTCAGAAGTGTTTAAAGTAGGATAATTTACAGAAGCTTGACCTCATTGTCAATTAAAACCAGAAGCTGCTTAAAAGCAGCTTAAAAGCAATTCTTGATTCAGTTACCTCTTCCCAAAGTCAGCCCTAACGCGTTCAGCCATGGGAGGGCTGCTTGTAGCTGAGTCTGCCCAGGGACTGGGAAGGAATGCAGACAACAAACTGGGGAAGTGCTGTCATCAGTGGCAACATCCTGCAGGTTTCAATCATTGGTAAGTGTTGCTTCTAGATCTGTATCAGACCACAGTGTGTTTCAAAGTAGCTTGAGTACTGCTTCAGTGAGAGGAAAACATCTGTGCGAGTACCTGTGCGCTGAGTAAACAACATTAGTGACATTTCCTTATCTAACCTTTCCTACCTGAGAAGTCCTATCACCGGCATCCATCCCACATTAATGCCAGACAAAACAGAAATCTAAGTCAGCTTTGCCTAAACGTGTGTACAGTTGAATTAAACCATTAGATTAATCAGTTGTGTTCTGCAACCAAACTGCAACAGTTAACAATAGAAGAATAAAAATCCTTTTACTTGGTTGATAAGCTGGAGAAGGCAATAATGCAGAGGCAGCCAGGCTGGCAGGACAAGACTGCCTGTAGGAAAAGTTTGGTGCATACAGAGTATCAACGTTGGCTAAAACACCAACGTATTGCCTGTGGCTGGTATGTCCCACACAGGACACAATATTTGAGAATTTCACTTGGAGGCAGTAATTCTTATCCGGGTCTAAGGGCTACAGCTAGAAATATACAATTAATACTCACAGTAATAAAACACCTGGGTTTTTTGGGGTTTTTTTGGTCCTGCTGTTATCTTGTGGTTATTTACATACAGTTAGCAATCTAGTTAGCAATAGCCTCCTTATGGCTCTCATAGATTAGGCAGTAAATTTATCCCTGCTGAAAAATCATAAAGCTTTCATTCAGGGAGTGACCAACAGAATTTAATACTACCGATCACAATCAAGTGTTCAACATTTCAGATAACCTGAAAGCACAGAAAGATTTTCCATTTCTACAAGTATGTACCTGGCCATTTTCCCTTCATCTGACAGAGGGTACTTTTTCTTCAGTATCACTCAGCATAGATTACTTGCTTTTTGGGGGGCTGGGTTTTTGTGGTTTTGGTTTTGTCTTTTAAGCTCCCAGAATACTTGTGAAAGGTAAAATTATAGGGACTTTAAAAGATGAGGAAGGAGGAGAGCTTGCACAGGGTATTAGGGAAAAAAAAAAAAAAAGAAAACCACCATATAAAGGAATGGAATTTAAATGTTTTGTTAGAATTTTAATGTGCTTCTCATTTTTTCACAAAGCATCTACTTAAATCACAAATCCTGGCATTGCTGTTAGCAACACTTCTTAAAACTGAAACATCAACTGAATAGTATCAGCAATGAAAGGCAATGTATGTGAATGCACCATAAACTGCAATTTCTTTTCTGATTTCTAGTGTGTATATTTAAAAGAAGCAAAATAATTCTATTTTGCTAAATAGAATGACATTATAGGGCTAAATACAAAACACTTCAAAGAAAATTTTAAAAAAGCTACAAAGAGGTCCCTGTACAGGTCACATTTGAGTACAGATCTTTCAGGCTCTTCAATCCATAGAATTGTTTCCAAGACCAAAAGCTTAAGACTTGTATGTACTAGTGAGGAAAATAATCCAAAACTTTCCCAGTACTCATTTTTAGATCTTTAATACTTTCAGATTCATTTGTCTGTATTACCCAGAGCACTTAGTACCTTTGCAATGGGGAGAAAAAAGAAAAACTCAAACCAGAGCTCCAAAAAGCCCAATGCACTGTTAAAGTTCAATGGACATGTATCAGTAATGTGAGTATGGAAAAGCTGCTCAGAATTATCTGGTTTTAAAAATCCCCAATAGGGACATATCTGTGAAGCTGGGAACTCTTTGAACCTATTGTCTCTATTGTTATAAATAAAATACCGTTTTTTAAAAACTATCTGATATTTCATCTAACCCTGAAATAGTAATGATTATTTTTTTTAAAAATAATCCTCCATGAGAAACTGAAGTCTGAAAGCAGCAAGAATAGCAGGAAACACAGATTACCAGGGTAAGAATAGCATTCTTCCAGATTAAATTCTTGCTTTATTAAATACTCTGTTTCTTCAGTTGTTTTGTACCTACTGAGCTGACATCTCATCTGTGATGGACCAACACAGTCAAGTCTCCGGGGAAAGGCAAATAGTTTTGTTAAATCAAAAAGAATTGGAGAAGAGAGCATAGACAAGAGGCTTCCAAATGGCTTGGAAGCAGACCAAGAACTTCTTTTTCTTATGTAAGTCACACATCACTGAGGAAAGTTGATCTTAGATTGTATCATCACTCAACAGTAAGTGGGACTTAATTATTTTACCATTAGTTAACATTTGGTTTAAGGATTTCATGCATCATCATTAGACAATTCTGCTGCATGTTCTCTTTTCACTTACTTGGAACAGTTACAAAACAGGACAAATTGACACATGAACAAAAGGTAAATGTAAGAACACAACATGGTCTCAGTTCCCATGTCCCTTAAGCCATATCTCACCTTTGACCATCTCTCTTGATCCTCTCTGAACCTTCTCCTGTTTACTACATCCCTGTGGATATGGCAGAGACCAGAACCATGCACTGTATTGTCATTAGAGATTTATACACTGGTGAAATGCTGGTTTCCCCTCTGTTCTCTATTCCTTTGCTAATACACATGGCAAACTGATTTGCAGTAAGCCTATCTAAAGTGAATTTAATCTCATTTTATTATCCATTTACTTTAGAAAAACCTTTCTGCAAGTCCTCAGAGTCATATATCTTCTTATTACAATGAATAATAACGCTTTACAGTCATCAAAGTGTCACCTTATATTCAGCTGCTTTCCTAGATTATTAACATGTTGAACTAAG